CGGAGCCGTGGACTCCTCCTCGCCTCTCCTTTCCGTGGTCAGAGCCTTGGGAGGGCCTGCAGCGCCACCTGCTGGGAGAGGGCGCCTAGGACAGGGCTGTTTCCTGAGGGTAAACTAGGGACTGTCCCTCACCAGGAAGGACCTGCGCGCGTCACCCTCTGCAGCCCGCGGAGCCCGGTCCCCTGAAGGTCGCCTCCGAAGCCCAGCTCTCGAGCCCCTGCCACCTTCGGGACCCGAATCGCCTTCGTGCATAGCCCTCAGCCACGGAACGTGCCGGGACATGTGATGGGACAGGCTTCAACAAGCTGGCATCTATCCTCCCACGTGCTGGGGGCCCAGGAACCCCAGGCCACCCTCGTGTAACCTCCCTGATACCCTCATCTGCAAAGTGAAAATGAGGATAATGCCAGCCCCGTTTGATGCAAATAATGAGGATCCATGGGAAGCACTCAGGGCCCCCGCAGTGAACCCTGCAAAAAGTAGCCGCTATTGCACTGATGCCGGGCCTGAATCTCCTCTGAAGGACATAATATAATAACGACAGTAGTGAATGGGCTCCTTCTGCCTACCAGGAGTGCGATGGCGGGAGGGGGGGCCGGGGGGGGGGGGAGGCGGCGGGGCAGGGGGGGGGGTGGCGGTTTACACCTGCCAGGCTCTGTTCTAAGAGCCTCACTATGTCAGACCGCAAGCATCCCCCATGAAGTCAGTAACATCATTCTATCCATGCCAAAGATAAGGAAGTAAACTCCTTATTAAAGATAAAGGAAGTAAACCTTTTTAAAGGTGAAATAAACCATGTTAGTGTTTACAGCAAAGAACCATGCCTCTGAAGAGTGTGGGAGCCACCTCTTTGAAATGTAAACAGCAGCCCCTAGAGGTGGGTACTGTTATTATTCCCATTTTACAAATAATAAAGATTCACCCCTACCCCTTGTCTAGGGAAGGGCTTCCCTCGGTGACTATAACCAGTGCTATAATCACACATTGGTTGTAGAGCTATAGAACGTTTAGTATTCCTTTGGATAAATACAAACAGAAAACACCGATGATTGCCCCAATTACCAGTGGGCTTAGGAGGAACTCTGGGTGACAAATGCTGCCTTCAAGTCTTCTGACTTGAGAACTAGTTCTCGTTTATCTTGAGAACTAGTTCTCATTTATCTCGAGAATATGGATGTAACAGATTGCCATCCGCTCAGCTGTATAAGAGGATGAGATTTCGTTCTGTCCCTGCAATTTCTTCAGTGCGTTGCCTGCGATACCCTCGCATTCTGGCTTGATGTTTATGCAATAGTAAAACTGTTTCCTTTCTCTTCTCCTTCTGTGGAAAAGTTCTCTTAGTTGGAAGGAGACCTTGTTTGTAATTATATTTTCCCAAAACCTCTTCCCATGAGCTCTGTGGGGACTTCTTGTTTTCTTAGTTCATGGCTGCGTGCCTGGGTCTGAGTAGGTGCTCCAAATATATCTATTGACTCAATAAATGACTCTATTGGATGTGTCGCTTGAATTCTGTTTTTTGCAATGAGCTAGCACTACTGATTATCATTTTAAAAAATCAACTGAGCTTCTAAAAACTCCACAATTGCTGATAGAACAGGCAGGCACTGGTTTGCTTTACGGATATTGATTTTTTTTTCCTGTGAATCCCCATGTTTCTCAGACATAAATCAGCAGTTTGCTAACGACTTCAGACACTATCATGAGCAACCACTGCAGACATCATTTAAAAAAATAAAACCCTTCGGACATCACAGTCCCAGCTAACCCAGATCCTTCTTATGTACCGGGAAGTGACCTGTGTCTACCTCACAGGCAGTTGAGAAGACACTGCCGCATCAGCACCTCCTCCTGCCAACAAGCTACCACCTTGCCCAGGGGACGCAATAAGAGCCCACGCCCCTCCCCTCTTCTCGGAATGAAGGGATGAAGTTGTGCTCCCTACGACTAGCCTTCTGGAGGGTTCCGAAGGTACCAAGTCCCATGACAACGACCCCAGGTTCATGGCTTCTCTTCGTTGTCACAGCAGCCCCATGAGGGAATTTGTGAAATTCCCATTTTACAAATAAGAAATCTGAGGTTCAGAGGTGCTGAATGACTTGCCCGGTCACACGGTTAGTGCACAGTAAAGTGGGGACACAGAACCAGGCAATCTGTTCCCAAGGCCGCAGCTCTTGGCCCCAAGTCATGAAGTGCCATTAGTCCCAAAGCATTGGACCAATCTTCCACTGTGTTTGTGGGAAACTGGGGCTGGAGGAATCAGAGCTCCTCCTCATAACACATTTTCTAAGCTATTGCCTTGTGCCAGGTGCTAGGCTGAGCACGCTGAAGGTGTTATCCAATGTAAGCCTCACACCAAATGAAGGTGTTTCCTATCACTGTCCCCATACCAGAGATGAGCACTGTGTGTGAAGAGTAGAGAGGTGAAGTCACTTGCCAAGGCGCCACAGTCAGTAAAGGGCCAAGTCAGAGTCAAATCGAGGTCCGTCTGTCTCCATGGCCCATGTTGTTAGCCATGATTCTTTCCCGAGGTGATGAAGAAACCAGAACTAATGAACCAAAATCAGCCCAAGTTCAAACAGGGACAATGTTCCCACAGGCAGGCCAGGAGGAAAGAGGAGCCACTTTGAAGTGGGTGGCAGCAGCTACCACAGGTGACGTTCTTCACACTGGCCCAAAGGGTGAGGGAGTCCCATGTCCTGGGAATGGAGGATCAGAGGGTTCCCTTTTGTATTTGTCGTCTCCGAGACCAGGGACCCTGGCCTGTATTCCTTCTGTCTCCCTTTGGGCCCAGCACAGCGCCGAGCACGATGCTGATGCTGGATGAATAGCGGCCAAACACATGAACTCACACACGCGTCTCCTTTCACCAGAGGCAACCGCTTACGCCGTCCCAGTTTCCAATGCAGCAGTGGTCCACAGGGGCGTTCACTGTGTCCCACGAGGCCACTTTTCTGGAGATGGAGGGGAGGGAGATGGAGAGTGAAGCCTTTGGGCACTGACCCCATGCCTGTCCCGCACACATGGGATGGCTTTTCGTCCTCTCAGGAAGCCATACAGGCTCATGCCAGTTATTCCCATATCACAGAAAAAGAAAGCTGGGATTCAGGAAGGTTACACGGCTAATTGTCACGAGCTCTGGAACTCAACTCGGACCTGTTTCCCCCGCCCCCCCCAAGTCCCTGCCTCACAGAGTGAGGCGGATCAGTAGGCACTGCGGGATGCGAGCAGGCCGCACACACGCAGTGGGTACTCCGTGGGCCCGTGCCGAATGAGCCAGTAAATGAATGGATGAGACAGTTTCAAGGAGAGGGTTCCGAACAGGATGTCTGCTGCAAGACATCCCAGATGACAGAAACTGGACAGAGAACTGAATTTGACAATGAAGTTCAAGTTAAAATAGCAAAAAAAGGGCAGGGGAGGAAATCACCTACACATCCATTGTAATGGATTGTAGTTTGCTCGGGCCACCATAGCAAAATATCACAGACCATGAGGCTTAAGCAACAGAAACATATTTTCTCTCAGTTCTGGAGACTGGAATTCTGGGAGCAGGGTGCGGAATGGTGGGGTTCTAATGAGGGCTCTCCTGCTGGCTTGCGGACCGCCTTCTCACTACATCTGCACATGGAGCTCTCCCACTTTCTATAAGGGCCCTAGTCCCGTCATGAGGGCCCCACAGAATCTAACCCTATTTCTCTCCCAAAGCTCCGCTCTCCAAATACCCTCAGGTTGAGGGTTTGGAAAGGGCACAAACATTCCGTCCACAGCGTCCATTGCCAGGAGATCAGATTAAACGAGTCACTGTGTCCATGCAGCTTTTAAATAATGCTCTGCAGCTTTTAAATAATGTCCCACAAGTATGGTTTCACCAGGAAAGACATTAGTGGTTTATGAAGTGAAAAACTCACGTTATAATGCATGTATACAGTGTGACTTCATTCTTACCAGTACCAGGGACATGAGGTACATGGGCAAGCTCTCAATCCTGGCAGAAAAGCTAAAATTTCCCAGGCTCCTGTACAGCTAGGGTTCCGGATATGATTTCATGTCTGCCAAATGGATGCACTTGCACAATATTTTGAAAGCAGACATGGGGCAGAGGCATCTTCCTGCGGTTTGGGCTGTTTGTTTGCTGCCGATAATGGAGTCTGCAGAGGCGGGGAGGTTTTCTGCAGCAGAATTCAGGTGCACAGTCATGACCAGGAGCAGGCATCCGGGGAAGAGGAAGTGCCCAGAGGCCTGTGTTGTGGGAGCTGGAAGGCACTTGCAGGGGCCGCAGGTTCCTGATGCCCAGGTCACGGCTGTGCCCCTGAGTTCCAGAATTCATTCAGTCCCCTGACGGACGGCTGTGCCCACCTTCCCAGGTGTAGCTGAGGGGCAGCCCCTCGGACTGGCCAGGGAATCTTTCCCAGGGACTCAGCCTAATGCCCCTCCTCCGGCTTTCCAATGATTTTCCAAGCGCCAATTCCCCGTGCTAAATTCTTTTCTGCTAAAATAGCAAAAATCTAGAAACATTTTGGATCCTCTAGTTTCAACCAAAAAAAAAAAAAATGCTAAACAGGATCAGGTGTGAGAAGTGGAAGAGACTTTGGTGAAGGCTCCCTTCTTTGAGTCTGTTTCCTCTCTTAATAGACTGGAGACCAGAGATTATTATCAGTTCATAGTTACTGAATACCGAGGCCGCTTGTAGTTCCCAAAGGTGATCATCCCTCGCGTGATCTTGCCACTTGCCATCAAGTCCCCTCAGCCTTGAAGCTGGACTGCCCTCTGACTCGCCGGCAACCAATACAATGCAGCAGGATCTAGGTTGCTTGACTGAATTCCAAGGCTAATCCGAAAGCCGTGCCTCTCCAACCCCGCCCACTCCGCTAGGGTTTCCAGCTCCGGCCCCGCCCACCGCGCGAGAGTTCAGGCCTTCCGAGGGTCCGGGGTCTGTGGGCGGAGCCGAGGAGGGCGGGCGCGGCCCGGCCCCGCCCACCCGCGCTCGCTCCCGCGCCGGTGGGCAGAGCGAGCTACGGCACCTCGCCGAGCACTATGGCCCGCCTGCTGGTGCTGCTGGGCCCCGCGGGCAGGGTGGGCGCCCGGGTCCAGTCTCGCGCCTCCTGGCTCCTGGGCGCTGCCGCCCCCTGCGCCCCGCCAACGCTACTCCTGCCGCTGCTCCGGCCAGTGCCAGACGCCCGGCTGCTGCCGTGCGCGGCCTACGGGAACTACGGCGGCAGCCGCCAGGTAAGCCGCCCCCCCGCCACCCCTGCCCCCGCCCCCGCCCCCAGTGCCTCAATCCCGGGTCCCACAGCGCCCCGATCCCTGGTCCACTTCCGCCAGAGGAGAACTTTGCACGCGCAGCTGCCGGAGGCGAGCACCTCCAGGGTCCCCAGATCCGGAATCTCTGTTAGCCAAGGAAGTGAACCTCCCATTTGACAGCCGGGGAAACTGAGACTCTGGGAAGCAGTGGTCTGCCCAAGGTCACAGTCTCCGGCGGAGGGAGCCCCGAGTTGCCAACGGCGGCGGCGGTAGCCTAGCAAATTTTAGGTGGGGCCTGCACTTGAGTTAACGTCCTCACCTGACCGTCAGAGTTGTTTCCTTCTGAAGTCACGTTAGAGCCTACTCGCTGGGCCCCAGAGCTCCCGTGGGTGCTGCCGCCGCTGACGGCTCCCTACGGTTGCTGCTGCTCCCTTTTTATCTAATCAAAGGAGCCGACTCCAGGCAAGGCTCACGCAGGACACGCAGTGTTACTTCATTTCGGTTGCCTTCTCTGTACAGTAAGCGAAAACTGGTTTCTATTCAGAAAGTTAATACAGGCTTACCTTTAAAAAAAAACAAAAAACCCCTATTACACTTGTTTTTCCTTTAAGTGTGTCTCCTTAAAAGAAAAACAGTCTAATGCAGAGACAGGACTAACAGGTTGGTTTGAGACCCAGAGCCCGGCCTCCCGCCCGCCCAGTGCCTGCGGGCCCTTTGCCATCAGGCCCCAGCACTGCCCACGGGTGTGACCTCACCCAGGGCTGAAGGCCTCCGCCCCTCCCCAGGGCTAAAAATAGCACACCTCCAACAAGTGCTCAGGGCCAGTTCTGTGAGCCCATGAAGGCCTGCGCACAGTGCCGCACTAGCCAGCACTTCCCGAGTGGACACCTGGTGGGGACTGGACCCGTGCCCTCACTGTGCCTCCTGCACAGATGGAGAAACTTCTTCCTTGCCTCCTGCTCCCTGCACTGGACGGGCAGCAGATCTCTCTGACCCCGGAGCCCAGCGTGGGAGTTGCCAGGGGCCTGGCCCCCGCCACACACACCCCTCTGCCTCCTGGCGATTCCTCGTGGCTCAGCCCTTCCTCCAGGAAGACGTCTCTGACCACCAGGGAGGCCTCCCATGGCCCCCATCAGCCCCACGGGTGCGGCTCTTTCCTGCACTCGTTATCTGGAATGCCCTCCTGACTTGCTGGTCTGTCCCAGCAGCCACATCAGCCTTGTCCCCAGGCCAGGCCCTGTCACTGGCACGCATGCGTGTTATGTGTAAACAGCGGTGATGAGCGTGGTCTCAGACCTCCTCTATTCCTGTCTCTACTCACTTGTTCTGCGGCCTTGATCAAATCCCCTCACTTCTGTGTCTCAGTATCCTCATCTGTAAAATGGGATATTAATTCACATGTCATAGAGTGAGAGTGGAAAACATGGTCATGTACCCAGCACCTGGTATGTTCTACCTGCCTGCCCCCTCCTTGCTGTTTCTCCATAGCATGCGTAATATCAGGCAGCCCCAACAGATTCCTTTTCCATCCCCTCGCACTGGACCACCAGCTGTCTGAGGGTGAGGTCTCGTCTGCTTCGTTCGTTGCTGTACCTCGCACACTCACAGCAGTGCCTCGCACGGCGCAGACCCTCGTGAGTGAGAACGCAGCACGGGTGTTACGAGCAAGGGCCTGAGAACCAGGCTCCGCGGGTCTGGATCCCAACTGCCACCGGCGACCCCTGTGTGATCCTCGGAAAGTTACTCAACCTCTCTGAGCTTCCAGGATCTTCTTCTGTTAAGTGGGGATGGCAGTAGTGCCTGTCTCGCAGGGTAGTTGTGAGGATTATGAGTTAATATTTTCAAAGTACTCAGAATTGGTGCAAAGCAAACACAATATAGTGTGCAGTAGTAATATTATGTATCAAATGAATGAAAACAGGCGTCGCTCCAAACAATGCGAGCAACTGGTGAGCAAGATCTTTGGTTCATTCCTCAAACCTTCCTGCCCTTCTAATACGGTCTTTTGTGCTTTTATAAATATGGAAGGGGGCATCTCTCACACACGTGCGCGCACACGGAAGAGGACAGGCAGGTGTCAGTAGTCTGGTCGGGCTGAGCATCCAGGGTGGAGCGTGGAAGGGGCTCCCAGCGAGCGCCGGCCTCCGTCAGAGCGTCGTTGGCACCTGGAACTGCAGATTGTGGGTGGTCCGTCCTATCTGGGCCCTCCATCTGGCAGCTCGCCCACCCGCAGCCGGTTTATCAGAGGAGCAGCCGTTCTGGCTGGTGGGCAGCGCAGACAGTCAAAGGCTTTGAGAAAAAGGGAGGTCACACGCGCTGGCCACCCTGAAGGAGCCGAAGCCTTCCTCCTTGTCTCCGGAGCCTGGACGTGCTATACATGAGCTGTGCGGCCGTGCGGCCGGGTGGCGGCCAGCGTGGTACCCAGTCCAGGTGCTGCGCTTCCCTCTGAACCTCCATGTCCTGTCTGTCAAAGCGGGAGGGCAGGGTGGCCGCATGACAGGACTGTGAGCATTGCTAGGAAATGAAGCCTTTAAAGTGCTAGGCCCGCCAGGCGCAATAGGAGAGGCCTGTCCCGACGACGCTGGTGGTTTTCCTAAAACCTTTCCAAGACCGGCGTGGCTTCGTTGGTGGGCGTGTCATCCCGTGCACCTAAAGATCGCAGGTTCGATTCCCAGACAGGGCACGTGCCTAGGTTGCGGGTTCAGTCCCCGGTGGGGGTGTGTGCAAGGGGCATCCCATCGATGTCCCTCTCCCTCTCCCTCTCCCTCAAAGCAAGCAGCACGCGCTCGGGTGAGGGGAAACAGGCTCTGCTTCACTGCCGGTCGGAACGTCTCCGGGGCGCCATCACCCCACAGCTGGATCTCACCGGCCCTCCCCCTTTGAGGTGCTTGTTTGAAGTCTGAAAAGACACACAGAAGTCAAAGCTAAAGGCAGGGATGAAACACAATGTGTCCCCATTCCGCGGCCTTAACACGTCATTCCCAAGGACCGGACTAGCCTTTAATGAAACAAATTTCATTCCAAGGCGAAGCTTCTGGGTGTTGTGGTTTTGGGTTTGTGTGTTGTTTTTTGTTTTTTTTTTTCACTTCCAACTACAGTTTTGGAACAAAGGAGATGATCTTTCAAATGGGAGGTAAAGAAAAGACTTCTAACTTATAAATCTGAGTTTTGTACAGACTTTTTTGGGGAGAGGGGATAAAGGGGAAGAAGCTCTTGTATGTAATTAAAAATCAAGGGGGGCTCTGGGCAAACAGACCAGCAGCTCCCAAGCCCCCTGGGGCCTTCCCCCAGAGGTCAGAGCCGCCTGGAGCAGGTTGCAGCAGGCTGGGGGTCCGCTGCCGTGCCGGCGGGCACACCTTGTTGAGTTCGGGGTGGGGGGCCTCTGCTGTGTGCAGGGCTGCCCTGAAGTATTCCCTTTTCATTCCAGGGGGCCCTGCCCCTACCTCGCGGGTTTTCTGCACTGTCTGTCACGCTCTTCCCTCTTGCCTTTCAAGTGTGGCTCTAAAAATACAAAGACAACGGCATCCTGGGCTTCTGCGAAGGCCATGCCTAGAGCTGCCCCAGATACTACCTGCCAAGAAAGGCTCTGAGGTCTGTTCTCAGAGTTAAAGAAATTTCCTGATTAAAAAAAGCACTCTTGCCTTGGCTGGTGTGGCTCAGTGGATTGAGCACTGACCTGCAAACCCAATGGTTGCTGGTTCGATTCCCAGTCAGGGCAGAGGCTGGAGCTGCGGACCAGGTCCCCAGTAGTGGGGTGCGCAGAGGCAGCCACACGTTGTTTCTCTCCCTCTCTCTCTCTCTCTCTCCTTTCTCCTCTCTAAAAATAAGTATCTTTAAAAAAAAAAAAAAAAGTACTCTCTATATTGGGAAGGAGTTTTGGTCTTTGTTGTTGTTTAATCCAGTGCTGTAGGTTTTTCTGTTTCTCCCAAACATCCCAGACCCCAGAGTCCTCAATAAATGTTCGCAGGGCCACGTGCTGTGAACTGTTGCTGCGCCAGTCCCAGCCAGCGTGCGGATGGCCCTTCCTTGACCTGTGCTGATCCCAGGGGTCAGCCTCGACCCCGACCCCGTAAGGGAAGGAAATAGACCGCCGCCCTGCCCCCTTGTGTCCGGCACCCACGGCGCTTGCCTCGCAGCGCCGGGCAGGGCTGCCGCGTGCTCCTGCTGCGGACCGGCCTGTCTGCGCCCATGCGGCTCCTCTGTAAAGAGGAAGGAGCGACAGTATCTCCCTACGGGCTGCTGTGCGGCTGAAAGCGGACAGCGGGTGCGCAGGAGCCTGGGAGCGCTGCCTCACCGGAGCCAGTGCTCAGGGCAGTGTCGCCGTCATCCCCAAGCCCGCGAGCCCTCGGGTGCTCGTTCCTCCCGCTGCCGTCGCCACAAGGCTGGCGGCTTTCACCGATGCCCACTCACCCCTTGTCAGTCCTGGGGGTCGGAAGCCTACACTCGGTCTGGCGGGGTTCGGGCCAAGGTGCTGGCTGCGCTGGTTCCTCTGGAGGCCCTGGCAGGGGGGATGAATCCATTCTGGCCTCTCCAGCTTCCAGGGCGCCCGCACCCCCGGCCTCCGAGCCCGCAGCGCAGCGCTGACTCTGCCGCTGCCTCACACCTGCTCCTCTGGCCCCCTGCCTCCCTCTCTCCACTCAGAAGGACTCGTGATTACAGGGCTCCCACACAGGATCATTAACTTAACCGCATCTGCAAAATCCTTTTGCTCTGGAAGGCGCCAGTAACAGGTTCTGGGGACCAGGGCCTGGACATGTTTGGGGCCATCACTCTGCCCATGGTACCTGGTACCCAACCTTTCACTGTCCCTAGTGGCTAGGGCGGCACTGGCCTCAGCTCTCTAAGTAAGAAAGCAGGGAATTGAGCTCCCCTTGGGTAGGAAGGAGAGTAGAACGCTGCGTGCGCAGGAAAGCTGGTGATGACCGCCGACACCCTTAGAGGGTCTCCCCTTCTGTGTTTGTGCACAGGACCCCAGCAAAACCGCGGCCGCAGCAGTCCGCGACGTCAGCAGTGCAGAGGAGAAGAAGCAAAGCAAGGCACAGCAGCTGAGGAAGGTTTTCCAAGAATACGGAGCTGTTGGTGTGTCCCTGCACATTGGCATCTCATTAGTCTCCCTGGGCCTGTTTTACACAATCGTTTCAAGGTAAGATTGTTGGCAGTAACAAGTATTCGTTCTTTGCCCTCATGAAAGATTCTCTGTGGTTAAGAACTTTCTGTCCTAAGACTTCTCATTCATCGAGCTCCTGTCATCACGTTTTTTAAAATAACGTCAATCCCAGAGCCAAATCAACGTCTCAGCCCAATGCCGTGCTGTAATAGCTGTTGTTTTGTGTCCGCCTCCTTCCCCTGCAGCGGCGTGGACGTGTCTGCCATCCTGCTCAAGCTCGGACTTAAGGAGTCGCTGGTCCAGTCAAAAGTGGCCACAGGTGCGAGCACCTTTGTGGTGGCCTACGCCATCCACAAGCTGTTCGCGCCCGTGAGAATCAGCATGACCTTAGTTTCCGTGCCCTTCGTTGTCAGGTATTTTCGGAAAGTGGGATTTTTTAAACCTCCAGCTGCAAAGCTTTGAAGAGCTCTTCAACTGTGGGCCAGAAAGCCAATTTCTTTTAAATAACACCTTTCGGGTGGGTTGTAGGGTTGTAGGGTTTTGGTTGTTTTGTTCTTTGGTGAGGGTGGGGGGCCGGGCCACTTTCTATGTTCTCATGGATGTTTTGCCAGCAAAATTCAGGTGTTGGAATAATTGTAATTTTTTTTTTCTTTATAAATTTTGTTAGTGCGCTTCATCATAGGGCTTGTATACATTATCTAAAATGTCAGCAAACCACCACAAATGGGCCGTCACGGTAAACTGCTAGATTGTGAAACGTCCCTCTGGAAGGTCGTTGGTGAGGGTCTTTCTGCAAAAGCCCCAGGGGTTCATCTTTGTTCGGATTCTTAAAGTGCAACCAACAATTCATGAAGCTAATTTTAAAACCCCGCTTCCTGCAGTATTTGTCGTCAGGCGGCCTGCGGTTTAATATGCAATATTCTGCAAAACAGCTGCCAGCGCTACAATTAATGAAGCAGAATTTAAGACCTAACACTATGTAATGAGGACCCAAAGAAGCACCGACACCTTCACGTTCCTGACCCTTGTTTGAGGGGAAGAAAAACAAGTGTGTCTGGTGCGTTTCCTTGGTCCCCAAACCCCTTCACATGGGGACGTAATGGGGGCCTACCTCAGGTGGTTTTTCTCAAATGTCACCAAAGTCGCTCAGGGTCATTTTCTCCATTTAGATAAAATGTGGAAACTTGTCCAATAGTAATGGCACCCCCTGGTGCCCGTGTCCTGAGAGGAATGTGGCTACTGCACACCTGCAAAGCTGAGTCTTTGCCCTACGCGCTGAGTCTCAAACTTCAGACATTTCAGAGCTGTCACAGTGTTTACATTGTGGTGCTCCTTCTATTTTTCAATTAAGTTAAAATCATGTGCAGTTAAAAAAAAAATTTTTTTTTTTTTTTTTTGGAATCACTCTGAAAAGGGAAGTTGGTAGCACTTGCTATAAATGGAGGACAACTGTGAAGTACTAGGGGCCAGGAGGGCGGGCGGGACTGGCTTCCCCACGCCCTCCCTGTGGGGCGAGTGCGGTCTCGCGCCCCAGCTGCGCGCTCTGGGAGCCCAGTTTGACCAGTTCTGCCCTGCTGCCCAGCTCAGGGCAGCTCCTGGTGGTCTACTTCCTGGCTCCCCTTTTTTTTTGTTTGTTTCTTTTTTAAGTTTAATTACATTCGGGACAAACAAACTAAACCACAGACTAACGGTCCTAATTTTCCGACCTGGCTGCTGACACTTCTCTAGTTAGCCGTCAGCGACCCAGGTCAGTCGCTTAAGTTTAAAATCATTATGGGACAGAGTCCCCTCTTGCAAGTTCTCCAAAGTGGATCTGAATCTTTTTCCCCTTTTAAAGCAATTGGCTCATTGCCAAAAGGTTCTACCAGTATCAAGGTGGAACTGCCTTTCTGGGATCTAAGCTTAAGAGCATCCACTCAGCTGAGCAAGATGTGCGATACCAGGGCGTGGCCATTCCTCCTGTGGACAGACCAGCCTTTTCACCGGGCTGGTCTCCCTTTAAACCTTTGGCTTCGGGCTGCAAACCCCCTCCTTCATCTGTGCCCCTACCGAACAGACCCCTGTAATGCCTATGCAAAAAAAGCTGACAGGACAGGTTTAAGGGCTTACGTCTTAAACTCTGTTTGGAGTGATGCGAGTGGATTGGAAGGGCAAAAGCAATAAACGAATCGCCCCATCAAATAGCCAGAGTCCCTTCTACACCCTGGCTTCACTCCCCTCCCCTCCCCTGCCCTCCCCTCCCCGGCCAGTGGCCAGGACCGCAGCGCTGGAGGGGAGCAACTCAAGGAACCATTACCGCAGTTCACCAGCAAGGTGCGCGCACTGCTCGTATTTTTATGCAACTAGGAATAAAATGGATATCTATTTTAAAACTGTAAAGCCACTGTTCACCTCTCATTATTCCTATCTGACAAAATGAGCAGCTTCAATACTGTGAAACAAAATAAACATCTTTGTAAAGATTATGGAACTTGTATTGCTCTTCTGGGAAACCATAATTGTTGATTATGAAGCAGCACCATGTAACTAGTTTATTAATGTTGTGCCACGACAGTGAGCTGTTTTCTTTGCTGTGTGGGGTTCTGTGTGGGCAAGTGACAGAAGTTTAGCTACTGTCACTGGTGAAGTTAGTCACATCATGTTAACCGTAGCTGCCCGGGATGCTGCATGTGACAGCACGACTTTGAAAGGTGAAGGCTGGGTCAGCTTCAAGTCCGTGGGAACCAAAGCAAGCCCCTGCCTCCGTACGGGGCTAAGGGGGCACTGCAGTTCTACTCGGTTGTTTTGAGGATGCCGTGGCCACTTCAACCCCTTCGACACGGACTTGGATGTTGGCCACTTCCTTATGTTTAGGACATTTCTGGCATTTAGTCTCTTGCATTGAAAGTTGGCCGTGAAAGTATGTCTCTACTGGTGCTCAGGAAGCTTGACGCTTCCACCTTTTCCTTGGTCATGGTCAAGTCCACATGTGGTTGCTGAGCAGAGGGTGCCGGCAGCCAGAAACGGGTTTGTAACTTTATACATCCGGAGGCGACAGAACATGAGCGCCACAGTGGCATCTCATGGCCTCTGCTCATTTCCAGGCCGATGGGGAACAGGTGGGGAGTCACCCATGTTCTCCAGACCGATGCGTGTTTCAAGTTTACACACACGCTGTAACTCCGGTGTGATAAAAATAAGCACCGCTCCCGCCCGCCCCCCCACAAGGAGCCGGGTGACCAAGGGGGCCCAGGAAGAAGCCTCTACCACCTGTGTTGAAGGGGCTTCCACTTTTATAAGCCACAGGAACACAGGTCACACCCAGATCCCTGGTTCGGGGAGGAGGGATGCTAAGGGAACAGTCCTTCATCAGAGAACCAAGACAGAGACCACACTTGTAAAGTCAGTTTGCAAAGTAGTTCAGCCCACAAAAGGGGCTCTTTGTCACCTGCTGAGACCAGGGTCAGAGCCCAGAGGTGAGCAGGTGGGAATGTGAACGACTGACAACTCTTCCCGTGTGTTTCCTGACCACCCGCAGCTCTGGCGAACCCCCAGAGAGGCCCCTGCCCCACCCCAGGAGCACCCAGTCCTGTGAACTGCTAAGTGGCCGGCCGGCCGGTCCTCAGGAGCACCTGCTGAGGAGCCCAGCCCGTGCGCTGGGCTGTTGTCAGGCGCTGCCCTGACCGTCGTGGCCTAGAAAGGCGCTAACACTTCCTGGGCACGTGGGACGGTCGGCAGGAGGAAGGGGGCGCTGGCTGCCTGCACACCCAGCTCCTGGTGCACCAGCTGCCACAGGCCACCGCTCCCCACTTCTGCGCCAGGTTCCCCGCTGTCCCTCATCAGTGGCGGCAACTTCTCGCCTCCAACCTGTCGATCCTCCCCCGTCCTCCAAGCCTCAGAGGCCACTGCGTCTGGAGGCCTCTCCCGACTCCTCATTACCCCACGGTCAGCGGCCGTCCTCCCACATCGTGTCCCCAGCCACCGCAGGGCGGGAGAAGGAACAATGGGGGTGTCCACAGGCCGGGCCAGCTCTGGGACCTCAGCCCAACAGCACCGCGCAGGCTGTCCTGCCTCCCCGCCAAGCCCAGGCCCGGGCGGGGCCCGGCACTGCGCGAAGTGCCGGCTGAGCTGCTGGGACACGCACACGACCGTCAAGGTAAAACATGCAAGCTTCAGAGAGTAAACATTCTGTATGTGTCTTACAGAAACAGTACGTAAACCATCAACATTTTGTAAAAGCCCCGAACATTCAGAACTGGCCGAGACACACATCCCATCCGCGGCCCGAGCAGTCCCGCAACGGAGGTGGAGCACGTGTCCCCAGCCTGCAAAGGCTCAGACAAAAGGCAGGGAGCGGAGGACTAGGTAGCAGGCGTGACGGGGCTGACAGAGCATTCCGGAAGGGACGGAGTCTAGGCACATCTCTTTTATTTTACTATTTAAGAGTCACGCGCTCATTCTGACAGCTTTCCCAGGCGTGGCCACCCATAAGTTACACACACACTCAGGAACTTGGAAGGTTATTGCACAGCTGCTGAACTGACCAGGGCAGGGCCAAGGGGCCCCCCTGCCACCACCGGCCCTGGGTCGCCCGTTGCAAGGATGCCCTAACCCAAACAGGCTGCGGGCGGCTGCCCTTGAACCTTGCCTCCGGAGGATGAAACCAGTGAAGTCAGTACAACTCTCCTGGTGACTTTTGCTTCACTGTCATGTCTACTGAAGTGGAACTTTCTCAGTGGGAAGCATGAGGTACTGCCTGCTCAGTAAAAATAATATGTTTTTCCACAGTGCTGCGGGTGGCAGGCGGGCCGTCGGCAGTAAGGGCAGGTCGGGAGTGGAGTTTACGACCAATTACACAGCAGCCCTGGCTCAGGGGGTCCTCCCCCTACAAGAGCCTTACGACTGCTTGCCCGCGGGCTCTGGGCTTTTCCGGCCGCTCGCTGGTTTGGAGGAGTTCGCGGTGACCCAGGGGTGCTCAAGGACTTCTCCCAGGGCCAGCCTTTGGCTAGGGTTGTGCATCAACAGTCTTGAAATGAGGTCCCTGGCTCCTTCTGGTACAAAGTCAGGGAATGTGAATTCAACCTGGAGCACAAGAAGTGACAGGCGGTCACAAAATGTGGTTTAGAGAGAACAGTTTAAATATTCAGATCGCAGCCTAAAGGGAAGGCTGACAGGGACAGAAAGGATCCTAACAGAAGTGATGGGTCCCTTCTAGCTGCGTCTTACCCGTGATATCCTCTTGTAGGTCTCTTGGTATGTGCTTGCCTCAAAAGGAGGCTTCCCGACTAAAAATTCATAGCAAAGAACTCCCAGGCTCCAGAGGTCCACCTTCTCGTCGTGCATCCGGCCTTCGATCATCTCAGGAGGCAGGTAGTCCAGGGTGCCGCACAGGGTGGTTCTCCTAGAACGAGGGAGGCCCAGGCTGACGCGCTGGGCTCTGCGATCGCAGCAGCTGCTTGACATCTCTAACGACTACACTGACCCTGGCTGAGTGTCTTCCCAGGCCGGGTCCTCGCTATGAAGTAGGTCCTGTTATAAATCTCCATTTTCAGAGAGGAAATGGGCTGAGGGAGCTGTGCAAGATCACACGGCCAACAACCCAGCTACACCCCGAATCCGGCCAATCACTACTTTATAAAAGCAGCCATGCAAAGTTCTCTGTAAATACAACTTAGTGTTCTATAGTTTTTACATGGCAGGTACCCTAAAAGGCTTAAGAGCCAGTAACATGATGACAAGAAACTGTCCCACTGCAAAAGCACTTGGTTTGGGGCTGTAGGTACATGCTGCCTTCTCACACATCCTTGGTACTGGAGATTCTAAAAGCTGGGGTGGCCTGTGAGGTACTCTTGCCAAAAATATTCTGCAGGCCCCTAGGCCCAATTTCCAGTTTTCAGTAAACACAGAGGATGAAAGACAAAGCTAAGTGACACCGCAATCAGAAAAATCCAGCCTAAATTGTGGGGCAAATGGACCAATTTAGACCAAAGAGACACAAATAGAATAGAATGCATGGACCTCATTTAGATTCTGATTTAAAACAAGCTATAAAATTTTGTGGACAACTGGGCACATCTGAACATGGACTAAGTGTTGGTTATTACCAGCGCTACTCATTTTCTTAAGAGTGACACTGGTTGGGATTAGATGGGACAATATCCTTATTTTTAAGAGACGCACATTGAAGTGCTCCAAGGACAAAGAATCGTGGCATCTGCAACTTATTTTTGAAGGTTCACCAAAAAAGTAGACACAGCCCACACAGCACCATGCCGGCTGTGGAACCAGCGCTGGGCAGTCACCTGCGCGACCAGCCACAGCATTTCTATGCGAGTTTGTATGACTAAGGCTGCAAATAGGCTGGGGTGGCAGAAAAACCCAGAACAAAGACCAGAGAGGCTTTTGCTGCTTTATATCGGTTCTTCCTTGCCATCGAAGCTTACGCGATCGCTGGGCTCCAGGCATGACCCAGCCTAAGTGTTCGCTCACCTGGGTGGCAGCAGGGAATTAGGGAGCCAGCTCTGCAGACATCCAGCCCCTCCCGCCACCACTGAGACAAGGGAGACAGCACCCAGTGACCTGGCAGCTCTTCCGGTTCGTAATGTTTGGGAGACAGAATGAAGTGACCACCAACACTTACACAGATGTCCCCTTCAGAAAAGGCTAGTTATCCATCCTATCATAATGACACCACTGGATGGCAAGGTACAGTTTTAGCCCTGTGATGCCACAAAGCCTGCAATTCTTCATTGATTCCCTCAGCAGGCGCCAACAGCGCCCACTAGTGGCAGACACCCAGATTTTTTTAAAAAGCAGATTCAATGTATTGCTCAGACCAATTGCAAGCGGTGGGTAGGTAACAAAAACAAAGCTCTCCCACACCCCGTGGCAACTATTTAGGCTATACAAATTTTTAACTAGTTTTATTTTTAAGATTAAAAAAAAACTAGCCTTATTTTAAAAAATTATAGCCAGATTATTTTAAAGTCCTACCTCAAAGTGGACAAACTCCTATCATTAAATGTATGCTTCTAAATGCTCTACTTCACATGTGGTTTCAAAAGCTTATTTAAACCCCCCCAAAATTAAATTTAAACAGTAAAGAGTATCTTAGCTCTTGTTTGCAAAGTTCACATAAGATTTAAATTTAGCCTTAGCTTTAAGAGGGGACAAGAAAGGACTATTCTGTTGACAACAGCAGACCGAGGAGAATCTTTAACCACCACCCTGAAATTTCCGTCCAGTTTGGCCGCTGAAGTTCCGGCAGAACCGCGGCCTGGGCTCCAGACCTTCGCAGGTGCTGCCCCCGCGCCTGTCTCCGCCCACTAACTTGTCTCCGCCCACTACCGCGGGGGGCGGGGCGTCACTCTGCTCCCCGTACCCTGCACCTCTCCTCGTCCTGCACTAGTCACCTCTGTTTACTTACCTGTCCCCTTCAGCATCCTTAACGCCAGGCCTAGGGTGCAATAAATAGCCCAGATGGTTGCAGAATAAAGATGTCCTTGAAGGCACTCTTTTCCTACGGGGGCCTAAATTACTCAGAAGGATCGTGTCAGTTACGAGCCCCGATTCCGCACAGCGCAGGTGCTCACGTCTTTTCCTATTTAGCTTGTCATTAGCCAGCAGGGCTTTCACTAAACCCAACAAGTCCCACCTCTAAAGTTACATACCTGGACGATGGGGCATGTACAGACCACCCGAAATCTGCAATCTTAAGCTCTCCAGCTGATCCAAGGAGCAGATTCTCTGGCTTAATGTCTCTATGAATAACTCTCTTTGAATGGCAGTAAGACAGGGCATCTGCCAGTTCTGTGATGTACTATTTAAAAAAAAGTATTAAAATCTGTTTTAGATTTTGTTAATTTTAGACATCTCCTCTGAAAGAAAATACAGCATAGATTTTTTAACACGTTTTGTAGGTTTTGAAGCAAAAGCTACAAACAATTGATGACTCAAAAAAAAAAAAGAAAAAGAAAAAGAAAATCAATGGAACCAAATTAGTGTTCAGCATGAAGTACAAGTTATTCAGTGTGAGGTTATTTATTTATTTGCTAATATAACAGGCATGATAGGCTATAACTACACCCCCACATGACAATTTATGCCCCAGCAATTAAGACACTGCTGAACAATCAGTACAAATGAGGGAGTCAAACGATTCTTTTAAAAACACAATTAAAAATTAAACATCTCTCAAGTACAGTCAATTCCCATTTTTAAAACCAAGAGCAACTGACAACAAAAGGATTTGTTTTCAGTTAATCATTTACACTAAGAATATCAGAGGGAAAACATATTCCTGAACAATAAACAGAACGTAGAAGCATATTAAGTTTGGGGTAAACTAATCAGTACTCAGCTTAAGAGTACACAAACAAGTGGGTCCTTTCGTTAGTTCTATTTCCATCTCAACTAAAGAAAGCTCTAGCAAGTCCAGAATTTGCTTTAACATATAGATAAGAATTGTTATTAGTATACTGAAAGAATATATTTAGCTCTGGCTAACGTCTGAGAAGGCTTTGTTTTCCAAAAGTAATTGAAAAGGACTGAACATTACACCAAGAGAAGGTTTACTGAACAAACGGGTAGAAATCAAGTATTACTGTCAGAAAGGATTTTTTTCAGCCGAAGCCAGAGACCAAAATTTAGTCCATAATAAACAGGAAGTGAAGAAAACAAAACGATCTTCTACGACACTGGAACGCCCGAAGGGGAGGAGTTTTCCTGCTCAAATCCGGACGGGCTGCTCTGGGTAAACCCGAGCTCTCAGGCGCCCCTCCCTCCACAGCCACCCCAGCGCACCCAGCCTGGGTCCAAGTGAGGCTCCTCCTCTTTCTCTACGGTTAGTTTTACTTGTATTCATCAGAAAAGGAAAACAGGTATGTGTGCACGCACGCACGTTCATCCTCAGGACCCCAGAATCTGACAAAGAGCGCGTCTTTCATTTTCTTTCCAATGCCTACCTGCTCACACCACAGTGAACATCTGGACTGAAGAAAACTGAGCAGAAGTATTAACTGCCAATTAAATGACAAACTAATTTGGTTAGCTAATATTTTAAGAGCAAATAGAACAGATCTATTTCTACTTATCCAAAAAGCAATCTTTTAAAATTAAAATAGCATGTCCTCACCACAGAGACATCAGAGGGTCACTCTCCAACAGGGCTGTGATTTCAGAGAGTAAAGGAAAGCCACCTGAATTCAGTGCCATTTAAATCAATGCCAAAAAGAAAATTACCGTACATAGTCGCCAGAGATCTCCACCAAGAAACGGAACAAATCAAAGTAAGCACCATCCAACAGGCCCCTCGTCTGCCGACTCAATAAAAAACAGCCCAGATTAAGACTCTTCAACTTCTTCAAACAGGGAATCCAATTCAAGTAAAACAAAAGCACAGTCCACGGGGGGGAAACAGCACCCCAAAGCAGAAACCTAATATCTTGGACTTTAAGATTAAAAACTTCTGCCCTGAGAAAGACACAGATAAGAGAATGAAAAGGTGAGCCACAGATTTTTTTGGCGGGGGGCGGGGGGGGGCACGTATGTCAAACACCCTTGTGATAAGGGACTTGCATCTAAACTGTAAGAACACTTAAAGTTCAATTAAGATGACCGAAAAAAACAATTTAAAAATGAGCAAAAGATCTGAACCCACACCTCAAAGATGTTAGACATGGCAAATAAGCACAGGAAGTAATTCCCGACATCGTATGTCATTAGAGGACCGCAAATTAAAACAATGAAATACTATTATACACCTATTAGAATGACTAAAACCACAAAAGATCACAATACCAATTGCTGGTGAGGATGAGGAGCACCAGGGACTCTCGCTCACAGGTACAAATGCCAAGACGGCACAGCCGCTTTAGAAGACACCGGCCAGTTTCTTACAGAGCTGAACGTGCTCTGACCACAAAAGCCCACAGTTAACTGCATCCCTAGGTATTTACCCGACCGATCTGAAAACTCATGCACCACAAAACCACACAGGCAAATGTCACTAGCTCTCTTCATAGTCACCAAAAACTGGGTGCAACCAAGGTGCCTTTCAACGGGTGGAGGGATAAACTGAGGTACACCCACGCAGTGAAGTATCTATCATTCATCAATAAAAAGAAATAAGCTATATCAACCCCGAAAAGATACAGCTGAATCTTCAACGTATATATGCCAGCTGCTTCCCATGGGGGTAACTGGTTAAGGATTCTGATGCCACTGGACACGTACACAGCCCTGGGTAGCCAGAGAAGTGGGCGGAAGACGGTGGACGCCGGGTCTCCCCACGCTGGAGCGCGAGGCTAAAGGTAAGCACGGCAACGGACTCGCGCTCGCCTACAGACACAGGTGGGTAAGCACGGAAGAACCGGCAGATACATGTTCACGCACAGAGCAGTATGCGCATGTTTCTTGCTCTCTGCCAGCCGAGAGCCTGAAGACACTCCAGTAGCAACAAGTGAACCTAGCACCCAGATCTTGGTTTCTAATAACATTTTCCAATGAAAGGACCCAGGGCTCTTTGGAGAAATGGTGATCATAGGACTGAGGTAGGAAATATACGAGATGAGACTGGAGCATCTTGTAGTGTCAGAAGCTTCAAATAAAAAAACACCACCAAATATCCACAAAGACGGGGGATGTCAGACAACATGGGAACCATGGAAAAAAGCTCCCAGTGCACAAAACTGGACGATTTCAGCAACAAAAGAAACGGTGCTAGGTTAGAGCGCAAAGTATACAATACTGAGGAGTCCATATTAAGAGATGACTGAGTAAATACATAAGGAGAAGATTCTAAATAATTTATGTAGATACTCTGCCCTATAGAAGGTGGAACACAATGGCCCCCACTCCTTGAGTGTGGCTGTGCATAGGGACTTCCCCTGAAGAAGCACAGTATGGAAAGGGAGAAAGACAGGTGACAACCGCCACCTCAGCCAGGTAATCAAGGCCACCGCCCACAGTGACAAGTCAGCGTGTACCCCTGACATGTGATGGGAATGCAAATTACCTCTGTGATCTTCCTCTCATAAACCCGCTGACCCCAGTCTAATCGTAAGAAAAACTAAGGCAATCTGAATAAAGTGTGAACTTCTGTGAACAGCTATGCCTCAGTATTTGTTCACTAGTTATTACAAATGTACCATACTAAGAGATTAGCAGGAGAAATCAAGTGTGCATCATTAATAGGAGAAAACCAATCTGTACCTATCTTCATAATTATTTCGTAAATCTAAAATTATTCCAAAATAGTTTCTTTTTTTTTAAAAAAAAAGGCAACTATTCATATACATTTCCACAGAAAAACGGTTCCGAAAACACACCAGCTACCACACCCTACCTGGTACCTGACTGTGCCTGTACATATGGTACAACTGAGCTTCCCACCTCAACTATCCGCCCCGCTAAGCTATCCCTGCGTGAAAGAGCCTGCCTGGCAGTCATGCGAGGCGCCTGCCTGCAGGACAGGTCTGGGCCCAGGGGACCAGCCTGGACAGCAAACGAACACTCACAGTGGCTGTTCTCTGCTCGTCGAACCTGGACAGTTTCTGGAGTTCCCTGTAGACGGCTCCGAGGGGGGCATATTCCAGAATCAGGTAGACCCTGGTGGCGTCATGGAAATACCCGTACAGCCGGAGAATATTCGGGTGCCTGCAACAAAGCGCGAGCACTCTCAGCCCAGCTTCACAGCAGAGCCAAGGCCACGGAACACGCGCTGAAACCGAGCACGCCCAGCGCGTGAACCGGGCGCCGAACATGGGCTCTGGTCACACGACCCCCAACCCCCGGCTCCGCACCGCTAGAGGCTGCAACTGTAGACCCGCTCCAGGAAGCACACACATCCACGTATCAGTTTACATGCATCTCAAGGTATTCGTGGACCACGGGTCTAAGACTGTTATTTCCTTCCTTCAGGTCACATTTATTCTTGTTGCGGGGAAACTCAGCTAAGTATTGGTTCTCTTCAAATTAACAGAAAAGGACAGGGCCTCCCCACAGTGGCAGACACTGAACGCTATGGGGCAGAAGGTAAAAGTGGTCTTCAAGATGGCTCTCCGTGCGTGACGGGGATGCGGGTGGCCAAGTGCACAGCCCACCGAGGCCCTCCGCCTGCCTCAGCCCCACCGGTGGCTGCCCAGCAGGGAAGCAGGCCAGGTACAGGCAGACTTTCAGCAACTGATTCAAGTTTGGAAAAAACACTGAGAGCAGCAAAAAAAAAAAAAAAAAAAAAAAAAGAAGGACCCACTGCTTCCTGTAACCTCTGCATACAACTCAGACCAAGAGGTATCATTCTCCTTATTATCTACCAAAAAATTAAACTGCTCTTGTAAATTGCCCCATTAACATCAACCTTCAAAAGAGCTTTCAGGACCACAGTAGGTAAGTCTAGAAGAACATTTGGAAAATGACAAATTTCATCACTCTGCAGGTCCGTGAAGCAGGCCTTCTAAACAGAAACGTACGATCGTTCATCTTAACAGCTCTCAGTGCTCCACACCGCCCTTCGGAGGAGTGCCCGAGGCCTCACCTGAGGTGGGACTGTATTTCTACTTCTCTTCTCAGCTGATGCTCAACCCCTGCCTTCTCCAGCTGAGCTTTGAATAAGACTTTCAGAGCCAGGATGAACTTGCTTTGCTTTTCTCTTGCCAAATAAACATTTCCAAACTTCCCTTTACCCAGTGGGCGGCCAATTTCAAAATCTTCTAAAGCCCATTGCCTCCTAGGAAAAAAAGGTCATCATTTTAAAAATCAAGAAAACAAATCTTTTTTAACATCAATGAGTAATAGACACACCCTATGAATAATTTTATATTTCTTGTATTCAGAACATACCCTCTGCCAGAAAGAGCCACCACCACAGTTAATGAGCCACCGCACACATTAAACGCCCCATTCCGCCACCTGCCTGCACCGAGTCAGTGCCAGGAGCACTCGGGACTCCAGTGCTGCAACCACCAAGGCCTGGGGTGTCCGAAGGCACACAGGCCTCCTAGCACCGCTGCAGACCACGGGAAGGAGCAGGTAAGTAGGTGGAGAGGGGCGAAGGCCTGGGAACCCCGTGGGCGGCGGGCAAACCAACCACAGGCCCCTCCCCCGAGACCCCGCCTCGCAGAGCAGGCAGGATGGACCGCGCAGGGCCGCCGGGACGGGACGGAATGGCAGACTCCAGACAGGCTCTGCTGGGCAAGTAACGCAAAAGCCCGGGCCACTCTGGCGCCTCCTGCCAGGCCCTAAAGTCTAGCACTTCAGAGCGTGAGGGCAGGCTTCTAGGAAATTCCTGGGGCAATAGCACAGCCCACTTTATTATCAAAAACACAACAATTCTATTAATACTGTCAACATTTTCACACGATCATAGAGTATGCTTCTATGGCAACGTGACCTCATTTTTAAACAAACTTGCACTTCTATGCACAAATAGAAAAACATACAGAAACACGTAAACCATATGGAGTGGTTACTTCTGAGGGGAGAAACTTATTTTACACATTTCTGTAACAGACTTACACACACTTTATTCTAAAGTTGAAAAAAAACAAAACAAAAACAAAAACAAAATTTGAGTCCCTAGGTAGACATCCATTATTAAAATCCCTTCTTTTTTAATAAAGGCAAGAAATTTATATTTTCAAAATGAAAATATAGTTACTTTTTAAAGCGTTCCCAAAAGTAAATTTGCAAGTAAATGATGTATTCTAATAGAATGATAGCACAGAACTCCAGAAATAAGAAATGCTTACTTTTTTGATTCTTCGTTTTTCTGTTTTGATGCCAGTTCCTTTCCAGAATTATTTCCTGCACAGAATAATTTAAAAACCTGTATTTAGAATAACTATACAGAATAAGTTAAAAACCTGTGAATAGAAATGAAGCACAGAATGGTCACCAATGTATTAATGATACATCCAGAATTATAGATCTCGGCCATTTTTGGTTCTCCTTAGAGAAGACAGACCACCACGACCTGACCGACTGCCACCCCGTGACGTCCACAGATTTGTACAGGTGAGCAGATTGTACGTTAGGCCTTCCAATAATTTGAAGACTCGAGACTATGCAGATTCTCCGCAAAGCCTCAGTTTCCAAATGAAGAGCTTCTAAGGCAGAACCACGCCTTCCCACCCATGACAAGCTCCCCCCTCGCCACCTTTTCCCCACTGGGTGGGCGGCCAACTGTCCCTAAGCTTCCTACAAATATGACCGACGATGTGCAGTCACACCTACGCCAGCCACTGCCCTTCCACTGTATTCCTTGTTGGGGGGAAATACGGAAATATAAGCCACTGATTCAGCCAAACAGAGATAAACCAATGGTGCGCCAGGGCGCCCAAGTCACCCTCGCATCAGCCAGAGTCTCTGTGGGGCACTTCCAACCCTAACGGCCGCAGAGCGCGGTCGGCTCAGGTGTTTGGACACAGGGCCAAGCCGGCTTTTCCCTCCGCGGTGCGCTCCCTCACGTGCACCCACCCCACGAGCAGGACCGCCACCCCACGTCCGGTTCCGGTTCGCTGCCCAGCGCTGCGCAGCCGCGCCTCTCCATCCTGGCTGTCTCCGAGGATGTTAAGGCGGGCGAGTCGCGGCTTCCTCCCCTGTAAAGCTGAGTTAACGACCCTGACCACCGTCACAGAGTGGTTACAGGGTCTGAAGGAGACAAGGCGGGTGAAGGCGGCACTTAGCTCAGAGCCTCCTGTGCGTGGGCAGGCAACAGACGGCAAATAGTGGCTGCTAAGAGCCACGCTGCCCGCCCCGCTGTTCAGGCTCCCTCCTGCCCGGCTCCAGCGTCCAGCGCCGCTCAGCCAGCTCACTCCACACCCCCGGGGTGCGCGCGCCACCGACCCGTCGGTCTTCCGCTCACGGACCGTCCAGCAGCTTCCAGTGCCCAGCGATGCAGCGCCGGCCCTCGGCACGACCCACAGTGTCAGGGTGACCTCGACCGCGGCGCCTCAGCCCACCTACGGCCCCGGACCTGCCCCCGGGCCCCGGGAGCCCGGCGCCGCTCAGCGCCGGCAGCGCACCAGAGGAGGCTGGCGCCGGCCTGCGCTCCTCCCACGGGCCTGCCCGCAGGGGCTGCTGTTGCTCCAGCCCGACCTTAAACTCCCCGCAGTCTCCTATCGGATGTCATGTGTCAACACGATATAAACGCTAGGGCTCAAAACAGTGCAAAACACAAATCTATACACTTGCCTTTTTTTTTTTTTTTTTTTTTTTAAGCAACTAGAAAGCATGACTATCCAGGAGTCTGAAAAAGCCGACTTACCAGGGGCGGCCGGCGGGGGCTGCTCACTCTTTTGCGGATTACTCAGCGGCCTGGAGACAGGGCGAGGGACGCTGGTGCCCTGCAGCTGCTTCTGCTTCAGATTCTGACCCGGCTTATGGCTGGAGAGCAGCTTTTGTGCTTGCGGAGGGACTCGCTGGGAGGAATTGGAAGGGCACAAGACGCGCTGCGCCTGGCCACTGTGCGCCGACGAGGGCGGCTGCGGCGGGAACTGCGGAGGCACCGGGACGCGCTTCGGACCGTCGCCGGGAGGAACTGCAGCCTGGGTGGGGGGAGATAAAAGAAGCTTCAAGGTCTTCCTAAGCCAGAGCTGCGCAGTCGGAGGCTCTGTCTGCCAGCTAACAAAACAGTATCACCGAGAGCAGAGGGAAGGGGAAAGCTATTTTAATCGGCACCTGCGGAGGATACGTCCGTTCATGGCTGGAAGGACGGCCAGAATGATGCTTCCAACCCCTCCCCCACGCCCACCCTGAAAACCGGGCTCCCATGAACTGATGGTCATTAACTAAACTCCCATTTAAAGAGGGAGAAACACTTGCTGAGAATTCAATGACTCGGGAATTGTCACTCAGCAAAAAGCTGCAATACAGAAACTTTGTACCAAAATCCCAATGTCACTGAAATTTCCTTGACAATACATGTTTAGGGGGGAAAAAAATGCATCAAAATGTTAAACAGCGATTATCTTCAAATGAAGTTTTAAAAGACAAAGTCTGAATGTTTTGTATTTGCCAGATTTTCCACACAAAGCTTATTACTACTGATTATTTTCCAAGTACTATTTACAAAATGCATCTGAGTCAAAACAACTTTGGCAAAAAGAAAAAAACAAACAAACATAGGTTCTTCAAAAAATTATTAAACAATTGCCCTGGCTGGTGTGGCTCAGTGGATGGAGCGCCAGCCTGTGAACCAAAGGGTCACTGGTTAGCTTCCCAGTCAGGGCGCAGCCCTGGGCGGCGGGCCGGGTCCCCAGCTGGGGGCCTGCGACATCAATGTGTCTGTCCGTCCCTCCGTCCTTCCCTCCCTCCCTCCCTCCCCCTCTCTTTAAAATAAAACCATTTCCTAAAAAGTTATTACCAAAATGTATTATTATGCACCTATTAAGTAGAATATCCCCAACTTAAAAAATAGTGAATTTAATTCTAAGACCCTGGGCTGGTCAAACTAAAATCAAGAGGAGGGGAAACACTTTCTCCAGCTTTACTAGGAGGAAATGTCCTAACAAACGAGGAAACGGTGCTGGAAAGGGAAGCCTCAGAGTCCCACACAGACGGGCATTCAGGCAACGACAGACATTTTAAATGGAGCCATTTTTTAAAAATGATGTTTATCCCTGGAATTGAGAATCAAATACAGCGACACAGACTGACCTTTTACTAAGTGGTCATTTTATACTTGCAGCCAGTAAAAGAAGGGCCAGTGTCCATTTACATAAAGATGAAGACTTCTAAAAACAAGTCCTGTCCCCTCTGCTCCAAAAAAGGCCGTGCCACATTTACACTTCAGCAGACTTCCTGGAGACAGCTGCTATTAAAGCGCCTTCACGTGCGTGCGGGCCCAGGTGCTCCACAAACAGCAAACGCCAAGAGCCGGGGCCTCTCCTGGCAAAGCCTTCCTGGGCTCCAGCCCACCCCAGTCTGAAGTGAGCGCCCCTCCTCGGAACTATTCGGGTCCTACTCATGTATACAGTAAGGCACGGAACTGGCCCACACACCTCCCCAACGGGGCTCGAAGTTCCTCAAAGTCAAAGACCATGCGCTCTCAGCCCCTGCCTCTGATCTGAACGTGCTAAGGTGGGTTCCAGGAAACAGTCCCTAACATGTGCCTGACATGCCTCTGAACTTACCACTCCCTGGATCAAGGCCAAAACTAACTATGGCAAAGCAGTTCATTTCTGGCAAGTAAGTACAGGCCAAGTATTAGGCGCCTATTGTGAACACTATTATCCTGCCTACAGTGGAATGATACAGACTTGAATAGCTAAGTATAAGACAAAGTAGAACAGAAAAAGACACAGTGACAGAATCAACAGAATGTTCCTGAATGCTGAGAAAAAGGATCTAAAGTTAAAAGCTAAAGTGAAGGAAACAAGAATTCCAGGTAGAAGACTGATCTCCCTTTGTGTTCTATAAAAGTGATTGAGATGACAGATTATTCAATTTACCTTAACCATCCCTGAAATGCAGTTTTCTTTAGATTTGTCCATGATACCTGAAAAGAAAAAAAAAAAAAGAACCTTTAGTTTATACAGCCCCACCTGCTTCAAAGTACTGCTCTGCTAGTTGGCGGTCACAGGCCCAACAGCACACACAACTTTACGTGTCTTCTTTGCCCCAATGAGGCCGACAAGGGAGCGCTGTTCTCTCATGGGACAACATTCAGGTGAGGCCTTTTCTCCGAAGACCAGCCTCTCCCCTGGGTCGCTCACTGCATCCCATCCCCGCGCCCACCACCGAGTCCTCCAACTTAGTCCTCTTCACACCGTAACCGACGTCAAGCCATACCCGTTCACTCACTTCCCCCTTCAACAGCAAAGCTCTGGAACAGCTGCCCACACTGGTCACCTCTACTGCCCGCTCCTTCTCTCCCCCTCCCTTAAGCCCACACCCAGGAATCCCCCTCAGTGACCCCTGCTGCCCCACCCCACGGGTCAACTCTCCTCCTCCGCCTTCCTGGGGTTCTAGGCAGCGTGACAAGCTCAGTCACTTGCTTTCATCTCCTTTCTTCACTTAGCTTAGACTCAGGCCTCCAAGGTCTCAGAATGGGAACCTTGACCACCTCTGACCCCACCTTCCCTTGTCTGTGGCACACCAGCCATTCAGGGCTCTGTTCTTTCCTCAAGAGTCCCCTGCCACAGGACCTTTGTACTTCCTGTCCCTGCCACCCTATAAAGCTCGTCCCCCAAACTGGGGCTTCCTCCTTCATTTCATTCAGTCTCTGGTCAGACGCTCCCTGTTCAGACCACGACTCCTTTTTCTTCGTAGCCCTTACTTAACATCTTATATAACATCACCTGGACGTGTTTACTGTCTGCTTCCTGAGACTCCAGATAGCCTGCTGCCAGCTCAGAATCTAAAAAAAAAGCAAGCTCCAGGAGAACAGCAGCGGAATCCCATTTTGTTGCAGGTCCCAGAACACTCCCAGAACCTGCCTGGGCCATAGTATGTACGCCAACATTTGAGGGAGTAAATTAATCCATTAACAAAGCAATCATGAAAATAGCTTATAACACTCAGTAAGCCCATTCCGTGAGCCAGGCAAACCTATCAAGTACAACGTAAACAAGAAAGCAGAAACCTTTCAGTAGTTTTCCCACCCAGCGCTCTCGGAATTCCAGAATCTGGTCAGAAAGCGGTCCCCACCCCCAAGCTTTCAGTTATTTCATGAATATGCAAATCACCCCACCTTGATGATCAGGCTGTAGCTGAAGGGCCTAGAGTCCTCACATCAAACAGTGATTTGGTAGAAACAGTAGACAAGAGAAATGGAAACAACTGCTTGTTATGCAAACACTAATTTCTCACTAGCTCTACAGCTGTCTCCACTTTCCCTAACAATGACAAAGCAGCAGACTAATGAGATCTCATAAGCCAAAGGACACGGATTCCACAGTCTTCACAGAAACTACAGATATTTGCTCCAATTTAATACACTTTTCTTCCCAAGAATGTTACTAGTAAGTAGAATGGTATAAGATTCTGATCCAGAAATTCTGGAGCAAGCCCCAGGAAGACTGCCGGTCAGGTGATTCTGGTCAACGCCGGGCTCAGGAGCCACAGGACCAGTTGACCTTCACAGCACCCCGCAGCTCCAACCAGGACTCTTGCTACTCTCAACAGGAAAACAGATGTAATAGCACTGAGGGTTTACGCTTTCCCTTCTTTCACTGAACCTACTAATTAGTATCTGCACAAATGAAATGAGTATGTTGCTGAAGAGTTTAATTCAAACAAGGAAAGTTAAGGGCAGTACAGGGACAGTTAGGAAGACAGATTGACAGGCCCAACCCCAGACCTAACAAGTCAGATGCTGCATTTCAACAACTTGCCCACAGGGCTAGTGTGCGCTGGCCTCCATCGCGAGTTCTCAATGAAACATCAGAATCACCTGGAGAGCTTGATGAACCTCGACACCTGGGTCCCATGCCCAAGCGCTTGATTCATTTGGTGGGTCTACGTGTTTAACAAGGACCCCCGAGAATCCCGATATGGAGGGATCTAAGGTTTGAAAAGCACCAGCGCAGGAAGGCCTCTTCCAGGAGGTTACCACTTACCCACTCACCCATCTAGCCAGGACAAGCGCCTTTCCTGGCCGTTCTATTCCCCGGCAAACCGCACACATCACTGCTTTGTTACTTTCGTACGCTCATCACCATTGGAAATTACCTTGCTAGGTCGCCGCCGGCCTTCCCACCCCTACTAGAACGTAAACTCCAAGAGAGCAAAAACCTTCTGTATATTTTCTCACCCAGGTGTTCATGAGTATGAGAATCCCATCAGAAGGCACCCCCCACCCAACCCCACCAGCCCATCCACTGCAGGGGTTTAATAAACACCAGGGGACAGGGCGCCTCGGTACCCAGGAGCAGATGAGAGGGAGGGTACTTGGAAAGCTAGAGCGGGGGACGGAGATCAGGAAGCGGGGGAACAGAGAGAGGAGGGGGCACAGGGAGAGGACGAAGGAGGACGCGGGGCCGAGGGAGGCCTTCTCATTCCAGCTCCTCCCTCGCAAGTCCCGTGGCCCACTGCCCGCTTTCCTCCACCCGTCCCGCCGGCCGCCCTCTTCCTCCCACCGAAAAGGGCTGCCCCAAGGCCTAGGCACCTGGTAGCTACGGCCTCAGACCCCAGACCGCCGCGTCTTTCGGAAACCCGAGCCGTTAAGATTCAAAGAGTCAATTTAAATAGGAGTTACTCTCTCTAACCTGAAAGTTGATTGGCCTGGACTAGAGAGGCGCTGCCTTTTCATTGGTTCACAGTCAACGCGACGGATTGAGTCATGTCCAAGCAGTGCAGACACGGTGCGCAGGCGCACCAGCTCCGTAAGGACCCGGAAGTCGGGGAGCTAACGGCCCGCCAGCCCCGTGGAGGTTCTAGCGCCAGCGCTGTTCTCAGGGACGTGACATCTCTCTGTGAGATAGAAGCTCTTTGCCGTCAGAGTTGTCTCGTAGGAGATAAAACCGGAGGAGGTGAAGGAACCTTTCAAAGGTGCCAGTAAGTAATATGGCGAGACGGGCGAGTGAGAGTGGGCCGCTCGATAGCGCAGCGCTCGGCGCGGCGTCCTTTGCGCGTGCGCAGTGGTGGCTGTGAGCCCAGTGTGATCGATCGGGCAGTATTCTCGCCTCCATTTTTCTACGAGAGCGGGAGACCGCGAGAGCTGGACTAGCGGGTACTGGGGGCCCGGGATACGTGGAGAGTGGCTGGTGAGGTCGGGGTGGGACCCTTAGAGGACCACAGGAGCGACTGGGGTGAGGCGGGAAGGGGTGATGGTGAGCGGAGCGGCGTGCGCCCTGCGTTGCCAGGCTGGGCCTGCTCCCTCCCTCACTCACTTCATCCTTAGTTCACGTCTATGCCGGGGAGGCAGCGGAGCGCCCAGTAAGGGATTGTCTGTGTTCTCGCTCGGATCCCTCTTCCAGCTCCGGAGATAACCAGTCCTGGGTTGGGGTCTTCTGTCCTCGAGCCTTGGCGTCCTCACCTGCTATTGGGGGATGGTGATTAGGCGCTTAGTAGCCGGGCGAGCTCAGCGTCTTCTGGGAGTTGAGAGGCGGGGCTCGTCCTCTCTTTTCTCTTTCTATTGTCTGTACACCCCCATGATGCTCCTGGCATGAGTGAAGAGACGGAAGAGAATAGCGATAAAGTTTTGGACTGTGATACGGACGGTGCTGGCGGCACCTTGCCCGAGTTACTCAGCCACCTTTTACTGTCAGTGGATTTCTTAACGTCTTTGATCCAATTTCATTATTTCTGTTGTGTCCTAGTGTTGTCTACACAAGCATAGATTTGTTTGCTTCTACATGTACTTTGAGTAGTTTTATGCAGTGAGCTAACACTTCCTTCTAAAGTGCTTAGCATGGTGCCTGACAGGTGCTTAATGAATGCCAGCTGCTGTTGTTAACACCCATTAGTACAGCGCAGTAAGGACTCAGGCTCTGGGGTCAAATAGCCTGGGTTAGGATCCAGGCTCTGCCATTTACAAGCTGTTTGGTCCTGGGCGAGTTAACTTCTTGGGGGCCTTGGATTGCCCATCTCCTAAATAGGGTTAAATGAGGGTTGAATGAGATAATGCGTATCAGTTGCCTGCACAATGTGTGTCATCTACTGTACTGAGTGGCCAAGAAAACACAGTTAGTTTATTGTTAAGTTAAGGAGCACTACAGGAAACGGCGAGGAACAGCAGCCTCTGGAGTCAGACCACGTTCTAGTTCTGGTTCATCCGGGCACTAACGGTGAGCCTTCGGGCAAGTTCTTTCCCCTGCTCATCTGTAAGCAAGGTTACAGGACATCTTTATAGGATGGTGTTGAGGATTCAATGAGATAAAACAGGGTAGACACTTGGTCATTGTTAGCTCTTTTGATCAGGAGCTTCAGTAATTCTCTAGAGGGAGTTGTGTAGCTGGAAAACACAGTTTTCCAAACCCTTTCCTCTAACACTCCCCCGTTCGCAGTCACCCCTGCCAAGTAGAGCGACACCAGGAGGCCCTGGCGTTACTGCTCACTCAGTCCCCTCCTTTCTCCTGTTCGTCTCCCCCGTGCTCTCCGTTTGGTTTTCATCTCTGCCACAGCCACCTGTCCGCATGCGACCTCTCTCTTCATTGCTGTCTCCAGGCTCCTCCCGCTTTCTGATACCCATCCCGACGTCCACATACATACAGACACCGACTTAAAACTTATCATCTACCATTATCTGTTTCACTTTCTAAGACTGAGGGAGAACTTAGACACCTACAAATAAATCGAAGTGCTTTCCTTCAGATTTTTTCTTCATTTTTTATTATTATTTTTGGCCATATGTTATTTGCCATTATTTTATTAAGCAATTTACTCTTTCCAAAGCATTTAAATTAAGTTTTCGTATCACAGTAGGTTTTTCGCCCTCATATTTTGATTTACTATCTAAGTATATAACTTAACCTCTGTTGCTTTAAAATAAGACTAAATATGACTGACATTAGTAAACATACAGCCCAGCTGGTGGAAACAATAGTATGTAGACATCCAGCAATAGCCGCTGCCTCACCTGCTGCAAACACCAGTCAATATTTTATTAACAGAAGACGTGGAAGATTCTGGAATAGCAAGAAAGAATAAAAAATGCAGGTGGACAGTTTGGCAGAGAAAAAAAGCTCTACCGTAGATAACAGCTGACGTGATTTGAATAGTGTCCGTGTGCCACTGTGCTCAATGCTCTGTGCCCCATCCTGTTAAACCTTCACTGCCTCCCCTAACAGCTCGGGAGCCTGATCTCAGACAAGTCGCTGAGCAGAGACAGCAGAGCTGGGATTTGAGCCTCGCGAGTCTGGCCCGATTTCTTTGTCGCTTCTGTAATTTACTAGCGCCTCTCCCCTTCACCGCCCCCCTGTTTTCTCTTTCTGCAGCCGGCAGAGAAATCATTTGCCTCCTCTCCAAGATGTACAGAACCAAAGTGGGCCTGAAGGACCGGCAGCAGCTCTACAAGCTGATCATCAGCCAGCTGCTCTATGACGGCTACATCAGCATCGCTAACGGGCTCATCAATGAGATCAAGCCTCAGTCCGTGTGCGCGCCCTCAGAGCAGCTGCTGCACCTCATCAAGCTAGGTAGCTTGTGGGTGCAGGTTCTTAGATCCCCGTGACGTGCTTTCAGATGTCCTCACACATCAGAATTTTTCAAGATTATTGCCATTTAGTTTTAGTCCCTAATATGTGTCAATGCAGCGTTAGATACCGAAGGAGTAAGCACAATCCAGATCCTAAAGACTGCGAGCCGCTTGTAGCCTCAGGATGTTATACGAATTACCTGGCGCGTTCCGTCGCTGGATTATTGACTCCTTGCAAGTCTCAGCTCAAATTGTCATCCCAGAGTCCCCATTAACCTCTTCTGAAATAACCCCACTGTCATCCCCAGGTCTCCCCGCGCACTCCTACAGTCTCATTTCTATCGTAACAGAATTGTCTGAAATTGCCTTTACTGTTGTGGATTGTTGCCCATGCAGTCCATACCTCCTGCCAGTGAAACTGCCGGCTGCGTAAGGGTCAGGACCTTTTCGTGTCCAGCGGTATATCCTGGTGCCTGCCTGGCGCATAGACAACACTGAAACGTAGGCTTGCCAAGCATGTTCATGCTCTTTGACTCTTCAGCGCCATTAGAATTGGTTATATAGTGTGGTTCTGTGTTTGTCATAAGAAGCGAAACAACTGTACATGGAGGAAGGGCCAGAAGAATTTATACCACCATGTTAGTAGTAATTATCTCTGGGTGGAAGAGGGTCATTTTTATTTTTTTGTTCATCTGCTTTTCTAATTTTTCCTGTACTAATAAACATTATATGATAGGTGGTGCTATTTTAAGTTTAAAACACATACTTTTTTAATTTACTGATTTTGGAGGGAGAGAAACATTGATTTGTTGTTCTGCCCGTCCAGGCACTCACTGGCTGACTCCTGGACGTGCCCTGACCAAACCCCCAGCTGTGGCACATCACGTCGACCCTCCAGCCAGCTGAGCTACCCAGCCAGGGCTGAAACAGGCTGAGAAGCTTCAGTTTATTTAATAATGTATCTGACTTAATGAGCGTCTGAGCTTTTGGTGACAGATCTCAGCACTAAAAATATTAAAACCAGAATGGGAAAAAGTAGACAATTTACAGAACTACTTTTTTCAGTTCCTGTGGTTGCAGTTAAAGCAGAACATTTTGGAGGCAAAAACCGGCTGGGGTGACTACCTATGGGAGCCTCGCCTCCTGCAACCCACGTCGCCTTGCATGCGGTCGCTGTGCCTGCACCCCGGTCAGCATGCCTGGTTTTGTAAAGCATAAGTGTCACCATTCCCGATTAAATCCCAAACTTCATCTTGGCCTTTTAAAATAACATTTTTCATGCGCTCAATTTTTATTGCTTCCAGGAATGGAAAATGATGATACTGCAGTTCAGTACGCAATTGGTCGTTCAGACACCGTTGCCCCGGGCACGGGGATTGACCTGGAGTTCGATGCCGATGTCCAGACCATGTCTCCGGAGGCCTCGGAGTACGAGACCTGCTATGTCACATCCCACAAAGGGCCATGCCGAGTAGCTACCTATAGTAGAGACGGGCAGCTAATAGCTACTGGGTCTGCTGACGCCTCCATAAAGATACTCGACACAGAAAGAATGTTGGCCAAAAGTGCCATGCCAATAGAGGTAAAACCCCTGTCCCGTACTTCCTTCACTGGAGAATGAGAGGAGTGTGAACCGGCGCTAGCTGAGCGGAGGTGCAGAGTGTGTCCTTTGAGTCACACAGACTTTACACGTCGCGTGTCTCTGTTCTTGGTTGTCTAGGTTATGATGAATGAGACTGCACAGCAGAATATGGAGAACCACCCGGTGATTCGGACTCTTTATGACCACGTGGACGAAGTCACATGTCTCGCTTTCCACCCAACAGAACAGATCCTTGCCTCTGGTTCAAGGGATTATACTCTTAAATTATTTGATTATTCCAAACCATCTGCTAAAAGAGCCTTCAAGTACATTCAGGTTAGGAATATTTGGGAAGAAGTTCTATGTTTTTTCTTAAATAAAATGAGCTGTTGTATGACTATTCTCTTTTTTAAAGTAGTCTCAGTAATCATCCTATGAAAAGGGTCCCCAGCGCCCTGGGCAGAGGACCGGTACAGTTGGTGGTCCTGGCCTGTTAGGAACCCCGGCCTCCAAGGAAGGTGGCCTGAGCTCCGCCTCCTATCCCCACCTCCACCCCGCACAGCAGGAGGTGAGAGGTAAACTCTCACCTGACCCTCCCCCCACCCCTCTCCCTGCCAGGCGTTCCGCCTCCTGTCCCCTCCCCCACCCGGCCTACTTGTGGGAAAATGGGTCCCTGGTACTAAACAGGTTGGGGACTACTGCTGTAAAACAGCACAGCAGCAAGGACCTAGGCCCCAGGTGGCACGTGGATCAGTCCGCTGGCACGCAGTTCGCATGTGCCCCCACCCTCTGGCCGGTCGGGACTGCCGCTGGTTCAGTTCCTGCAGCAAGGGGTCAGAATCCCTTTCACTCAAGGTCGCAGGTCCCTGTTTAAAAATACACAACCAGTAACTTACAGGAATAGGAAATGATTTTGTTAAAACTGTCAGGTGTTTGCTGAAGTGACATTTGGTACCTTAAAGCACTTGGTTCCTTCTCATACCTGTGTCATACCTGATCGCTGCTTTAGGGATTCGTTGCATCCATCAAGTGTTTTCCACGTTTCCTCTGGAGACAACTGTTGTGCAGTCGTTTAACATTCGTGTCTCTGCCCTAACAGGAAGCTGAAATGTTGCGCTCCATCTCTTTCCACCCTTCCGGAGACTTCATCCTGGTCGGGACTCAGCACCCCACTCTTCGGCTCTACGACATCAACACGTTTCAGTGTTTCGTCTCCTGCAACCCTCAGGATCAGCACACGGACGCCATATGTTCCGTCAGTTACAACCCCAGCGCCAATATGTACGTGACTGGTAGCAAGGACGGCTGCATCAAGCTGTGGGACGGCGTCTCGAATCGCTGCATCACGACTTTTGAGAAAGCGCACGATGGTGCTGAAGTTTGTTCTGCCATTTTTTCCAAAAATTCTAAATACATTCTTTCGAGTGGAAAAGACTCTGTAGCTAAACTTTGGGAAATATCAACAGGACGAACGCTGGTCAGATACACGGGTATGTGAGAAATTGATATTATCCAACGTTTATGTAGCATTTTACATTTTTGAAAACTCATTTTAGGTAAGGCAAACCAAGGTTTAAACTAGTGTGAAAGAATTTAGTCAAGGCCACGGTTAGTAAGAGGCAGAGCTGGAAGTTAGAGCCGCAGTGTCTCACCTTTGCTCTCCTCGATACGTTACAGCTTAAACTAGATCCGAGTGCGTGCAGGCAACATTGGAGAAACTGGTCTGTCTCAGACGGGGGCCTGCCCTTTTCTCTGCAAAATCCTGGGCGGGTGTACGCAGCGGGGAGGGGAGGGCTGAGAGGAAGACCTTGGCCCAGTCCTCCGCGAGCAGAAGGAGCCCCGAAGTGAGACCACAGTGTCCTGGCCCTGGATGTGAAGTGGGCCCGTCAGGCAGGAAAAGACAATGAGGTTCATCTGATTCTCCTTCATTCGTGGGGGTTTCTGGTTACATGTCCGCCTGTGAGCTCTTTACAATGAGATTTAAATTTGTCCTTTCGCTAGTAGTCTGTTCAGGTCTAGTTACTGATAGTCAACGTTCAAATCCTGTGTGTCGTTCCTCTGTTCCTTGTAGAAGCAGAGGCTGTTTGGTAGAAAACCTCCAGGAAGCTCCAGCTAGTTTCCTCTGGTGTGAGATGTTTGTGCAGGTGCGGAAATCGCCTTGACTGACCCACAGGCTCCCGAGAAGGCCCTGCTGAAAGCGGCTTTGCCTTGGTGTGAAGTTAGCATTTTAGGGAAGAGAGCGGCAGCGTGGGAGGCCCCTGGACCACTAGGGCGCAGCACAGCCTCCCGTAGGTTAGCCCGTCGGGGCCCTCGCCGGCCGCCGCTGCGTGCGGTACCACTGGCAAAGCTGGGGAAGAGCCGTTCTTATCACAGTTGGCGGTGGCTTTATTGAAACACGTAACTTTTGTATGAGCCAGTTTAAAAAATAATCTGATTATTGCTACAAAAAGGCTGCAAGTTGCAAAAAGGAGATATAAAAGCGATCAAAGTGAGAATGGGGACATCTCCTCCCTAGAAGGGACAGCCGCCGTGGGAGTGTGCTGGGGCGGACGGCTACCCCCAGGGCTGCTGGCCAGAGCGTATATATTTTTTAATGCTTGGAATGGTACACAGTTCGATGGTTTTGGTAGAGAATTGAGGTTTGATTTTCAAATGAGGTGGTACTGAATTTATATGCAAATCCCTATTTTCTCTGATGGCTGGTTAAGACCCCTTCGTATCAGCAAAGTTAGATCTGTTTCCGAGTCGAAAGCTCAGTCATAATTCAGAGGGCTGCTGACATCAGACGGGAGAGAGAAAAGTGCCCATTAAACATGGGAAGTTTTGATATGAAAAATTAATTCAAAACACTATAAACGAAATTAAAATGCTGGGCAAGGGGACGATATGCATAGCATATAATAACAGGTGCACGTCAGACATTTGTCAGTGAACCCAAGGAAAGATAAATGACCGACCTCACTCCAAACCTCAGAAATGAAAATGGAAGTACTCTTTGCACTCATCAGATTTCAGGAATTTAAAGGGTTGGTATTATCTAGCATCAATAAACATTTCAGGAAGTCACATTTTTTTTTTTTAATCTTTTTTTTAATTTATTTTTTCAAATACATTTGTCTCTGCCTACCCCCCACCACTTTCCCTTGCCCCCTCCCTCCCTCCCTCCCTCCCTCAACTCTTCCCCTTTGGTTTTGTCCATGAGTTCTTGCTATATGTTCCTTGACTTTCCCCTTCCCTTCCTTTTCCCCGCCCCCCCCTTCCCTGTTGTCTCTGTTGATTTCTTTTCCTTTCAGTGTTGTTGGTCTTATTTTCCTTGTATCTTTGTATTGTTGGTTAGGTTCCACTTATAGGTGAGATCATATGTTATTTGTCTTTCGCCTCCTGGCTTATTTCGCTTAGCATAATGCTCTCCAGTTCCATCCATGCTGTCGCGAAGATTAGTAGTTCTTTTTTTCTTTCTGCTGCGTAGTATTCCATTGTGTATATGTACCATAATTTTTTGATCCAATCATCTACTGATGGGCATTTAGGTTGCTTCCAACACTTGGCTATTGTAAATTGAGGAAGTCACATATTTTTAAGAGTGTCAAGTAGTAAAATACTTACGAAGGGCAGTATGGTGTCATAGAGGAAAATGTTAAATGCATACATAGGGTGGGGCAAAAGTAGGTCTGCAGTCTGTATGGAAAATAATACAATAATTAATAAATTATAATACAGGAATAAACTTTGTTCCACATACAACTATAAACCTACTTTTGTCCCACCCCCCCCCCCTTTTTTTTTTTTTTTTAACCTGCTGTACCCACTCGTAGAAACTCAGCCTAGAAAGACTCTTGGGCAGCATGCACACCCACACATAAAGATGGCCGTGCAGCATTGTCTGGAGTAGCGGACAGTAACAGCAACATAAATGGCACCAGAAGCATGAAGTAAATTGCACAGTAACAACTGTTGAGCCCACCCGTGCTCATCCAGTCCCCAAGGCTGGCTCGGGGGTGCGTGCAGTGCTGCCCCCCGTGAAACAGGAGGGAACTGAGACCGAGGGTGTGAAGTGATTTGTTCAAGGTCACATCACTAATAAGTGGTGAGTCCAGGTCAGACGCCAAAGTTTGTATTTTTATCCATCAAACTATGTTCCCTCTTTATTGGTCTCCACTACATGCTATTGAATAAAAACAGCATGTAACGTCCACTCTGGTTTATATAATTTTCGAATGAGTGTACAACACGGAGATATTCGGAAAGGATGGCCATCAACACCTTAGCTTGGGTGTAAAATTATCAGGCAGTTTTTATTTATATTTTATATACTACTTTAAACAAGAATTTTTTTTTAATGGTCATGTTAAAGCATAAAGCTTTCTTTTGGAGAGTAGATATTCATACAACCCATTAATTCTATTCCTAGGAATTGAATTCTAATAGAAATAACGTATTCTGTACAAAGAATGTTTATCACGATGTTACTTACAATTGGATACAAACTAAATGCCTAGCAGGAAAAGATCTAAGTAGGTAGTGATATTTCCAGGCAATGGGATATTTGCAGCCAGTAAAAATGATGGAAAATGTACCCAACAGGAAGTTGGTGTCCCCAATCTCTGGGCCCTGGAACCAGGCCACACAGCAGGATGTAAGCTTGAATGTGATGTGCTTAAATCATCCCAAAAACATCCCCCCGACAACCTGGTCCGTGGAAAAATTGTCTTCCATGAAGCTGGTCCCTGGTGCCAGAAAGGCTGGGGGCCGCTAGCTTAAACTGCCGTAGAAAAGGCATATATAATGAAGCACCAGTTTTGTATCGTTTTTAAAAAGATCTTCATGCCTCCAAGTGCATCCGAGTTAACAAAGCTGCCTTACAGTTGGGCCCAGAGGCGATTCTCTTTTTCATACTCTTTTTACCGGTCCCAGAATGGCACAGTAAGTGTGTGGTACCTCAGCCATTGTCAAGTGCCGCTTTTACACGGGTGGGATCGATAGCCACGTGGCGCAGTCTGGGGGGGGCCCAGGGCGGGAACTCGGGGAGCTGCTCTGGCGCCCAGGCCCCTAACCTCTTGGTCTGTGTGCAGGTGCTGGCTTGAGCGGGCGGCAAGTGCACCGGACACAGGCCGTCTTCAACCACACGGAGGACTACGTCCTGCTTCCGGACGAGAGGACCATCAGCCTGTGCTGCTGGGACTCGCGCACGGCCGAGCGCCGGAACCTGCTGTCCCTGGGCCACAACAACATCGTGCGCTGCATCGTGCACTCGCCCACCAACCCCGGCTTCATGACGTGCAGCGATGACTTCAGAGCCAGGTTCTGGTACCGGAGGTCGACCACGGACTAGAGCCCTACCCTCCGTGCGGTTCTTCTCTCCGGGACTCTGCCCCTCCCTCCCCTGTGTCCTGTCACCGGCCTCGGTAGCAAGTCATTGTGCCACCTTTGGCAGTCAGGCTGCCACCTCTACAGCCTTCTTGGATTTGTACAAAAGGATCTTTTTTTACCTTGATGCGGAATCATGGTGGAAAAAGTGGGAAGCACAGATCTGTGCAGTTCTGCATTCACTGATGATTATAGTGCGATTCTCATCAGCTGTGTAAATACAGGACTTGCCATTTCTCTGACTCTCTTGATCACATGAAGAAGGATAGAGTGAGTATTAAAGTGCTTTCCAGGTCTCAGGTGGATGTCACGAGCACTTCTCATTGGCTCCCTTTGTCTGTCCCGTGCCTATTCCACATCCTCTGAATGTTTCTGTTCAAAATGCATTTTGGCAGAGAAGTAGGCATACTGCCTGAGAATCAAGAGTTTTGTGCCCTATTAAAACCATTTTAGAGAATCAATTCTACTCTGAAATGACATCCTGATAATAAAGCTCAGATCTGCAACGTTGCTGTTAACACATTTTTCACGTCAATAAAATTAATGGCTATTTTTCTGAAGATTTATAGGAGCCATCTTTCATCATACCTCCCGCAGTATCTATTCATTACCTTCAGTAAGTGTGTTTCTGATAAGGTTTTCCCCGTTGGATGAGAAACAAATTTGGAAATTATATCCTGTCTTAACAAAATTGGGTGAGCCCGCTGCTGCCTCTTACGTAATTTTAAATCCTATTTTTCAGCACAAACCTTAACTACTCATCGGGACACGCACAGAGACTGTGTTCGCAGAAGATTTTTGCAATTAACCAATTTATACGAGTTTTCTTTTTCTTGAAATTTTTTAGAAGGTGACAGTACTTCTCTGGATTCGGCTCAGGCTGGGTCAGAGAACCCTACGCTCTCCTCACAAAGAACTTTGGTTTATATTTATCCCCATGTACAAATACCTCATGATCTGGGTAGCAGTACCTAGAAATATAATCTGGGAATATTGGATTAAAAAATAATAAATAGATTAAAGTAATTGTTTTATGTTACAGGAATTTTAAAGTTTTAAAATTCTGAAGTTTATTGCATAAAAATTCTGCTTTAGTCATCTTTAAGGATGATTTTAATTCTTTGATCTATAAAACAATTTTAAGCATTTTTAATGTGTTAAACCACAGCGTATTTGGTTCAGATTTACAGAGACCTGTTTTTTGCTACGTAGTGAGTAAATTTATTTTTATTTTGTGTCCTGATTCCCTAGTATTTGAACTAGGCCTTCTATGGATGCTGATTTTATAAGATTTAAAAGAAACCACCCTGGCCAATGTGGCTCAGTTGATTGGAGCGTAGTCCTATAAACAGAAGGGTTGTGAGTTCAATTCCCAGTCAGAACACATACCTAGGTTGCGGTTGAGTCCCTGGTCGGGTATATACAAGAGGCAACCCATCTCTATTTTTCTCTGGCATGGATGTTTCTCTCCTCTCTCCCCCTCTCTCCAAAATCAATAAGCATGTCCTCAGCGAGGATAAAAAAAAATAAAAGATTAAAAGAAACCAGTTCTAGCAAAAAGGTTACCAAACATGACTTCCCACTTACTCTGATTTTTCTTTACTTCCAACCCCTGAAGCCGAGGGAGAGGGCGGTGTCCCCGTGGTGGTCTGCCCCGGCACACGCAGGAGGGCGGCGCCCGCGCTGCGCTCTGTGAGTCCGCTCAGGCTTTTTACGTGCTCATGAATTAAAAGACTAACAGCTGCTTTCTCCAGTTTGGGAACAGTCTCGGCGATGGATCTGTCGTTTCAGGACTTCTATTTATAGGATCAAAATACTGTTGTGTGTTTCCAAAATGAACTTTTTTAACTTCTTTTAAAAATTACATTAATGTTCAAAAACTGGTATAAATGCCAGAAGTATTACATGCACGTAATTAATTGTACCACATAACATCTTGACATTCAAATGGTTAATAATACCGAGTCCGGATAAAAACTCAGAACTGCTATGTTATTTTTTAAAGACATGTGATTTCTAAAATAAACTTTTTGTATATAATGATAATTTAAAGCTAGTTGGTTTTTTTTGGACTTTGCTTTGAATGTTTCTGCGTTTGAACATAAGTTCTCCCAAAGCAATTATGACTTTGTTACTTTTCAGTGTTTTCTTTAGTGCATTGTTCCAGAAGTCAGGTTTCTGTACAATAGTTTAATCACCTTTAGCTCTGTGTTTTGCCCTTCTACTCTCTCCAAATTTAGAAGCTTGGGTACAATTCCATTTCTTTAGGTGATTCAGAGAAACCTACCTTTTGCTTTGAGTTTTGCTTCCCCTTTAGCAGGAAGGCAGTCCTCCTCCTCCTCAGGGCGATGGCTTCCTTTTCTGTGATGAAAGAGCTTCAAAATCCTCCCCAAAATTCATGGAAATCAGTGAAGCTGCTTTTTTGTATTAAACATACCATGACAAAAGCAGGTTGGGAGGAGGGAAGACGCTTATTTCTCGCTACAAATCTGCATAGAGTTTCTTTTCAAGCCACAAATTCCACTGAGGGCATTTGTGGATCCCCCTCAGCCTAATTTCTGACCTCTGAGTCTGCACAGGGTTGGGAACTTTGATCAAGACCCAGAAAGCAAGCCCAGAATGCGAGAGGTGCGGCCCTCAGCGAAAGGGAGCGCTGGCCAAACCCCGCTTGGGGCAGGGGCAGCGGCAGGGCACACGCTCAGGCCTGCGGGCGGCAGGGGTCTTCTCGGAGAATCCCGCCCACGGGCTGCGTGGCGCTCTGGCAAGGCCGGGGTAATTCACAGCCCGCGCAGGCAGGGCAAACGAGCCGAGCGCGCAAGGCCACTCCGGCCGGTAGTGGCCACAGATACGCGACAGAAGCAGCCTAAACTGTCTGCGGACAGCACAGCCCAGCCCAGGCCTCGGCCCTCATTCACAAAGCTCTGCAAAGCCCGAGGCCACACTCCGTGCGGACGCAGGCGAGTGGCCACCGTGATGAGAGCCGGGAGCGACTAGGACAGCGTCAGACCCGGAAAGGCAGTGGAATTATCACACAAGCATAAGCTATGTTTGAAGAACAACAACAGGGTAACCAAAGTGGGACCGCCGATGGAGAGACTTCAAAAGTGACCGAGTAGATGGGAGCCACCGAAAGAGAACTAGAAAACACTGCGTTTCCATAGCTTTCACACCGCGCTTGTGCCTTTTTTCTGGCACCTGCAGCCTCTGCCTCCTCCTCCCTTAGCGGGTGTCTTATCTCGGCAGCCTCTTTCCGTCACCTTTTGGGGAACTTACCCTTCACCCTGCACCCACGCCACAGCGACCGCTGGCCGGTGGCAGCACTTGAAGACCTGATTTTTCTTGTTCTCACCGGCACCGCGCAGCCTCTTCCAGCTCCATGACCCCCGTACACCCACAGCAAGTTCTTTGCTTTTTTCCAAGTCTTGCTCTGCTTCCTTCTCCATCTCAACCTTGGGATCGAAATTCAGGCCATTAAACTGAGTTATGGCTGGTTATGGTCACTGTAGGAACGACCCCAGCCCTCCCTGTTCTATCCCTACATTAGGGGATGTAGATGAATATGTTGGCCATTTATGAAATTCTACTTTTACCAAAATAACTATTTTTGAGTTATCTTCATGAAGTTGAAATCTGCCAGAGGATCAGTAACTTCAAAGCAGTGGGGTGCAAAGTTTCCTGCCAAGCCCGATGCTTTGGCCGATCTAACGCGCGTTCAGCTGCACTGGAATCCTCAGGTACGAATGCCCAGTGTGTGAATCCTACCACGCCCAGGCCTGAGAGCCAAAGTGCACGTGAACACAGTAGGAAAGCATATAAAACCAGTTCTGTACATAAAATCTCTTCCTGCACATTGACTAGGAGCTACCCAAGTGACCAGACTCACTAGGTTCAGAGAAGAAAATTAATCCAGAATGCCGTCCTCAGTGGCATGTTTTTCAAGAGGGGAAATAATTACCGCATTGGAGTGTCCGTAACGTTCTTGGTTCTCTTGAACTCAAGCTGTTTCAACCTTCAGTGAGCAGGATATTGCGAAAGCCAGCCAGTTTCCTAGAATAATTAACTTGCAATATCTGTGCGCGAGAGAGACTCATTTGCCTTGAGAAGTAAATAGAAATGGATTCCAGCAAAATGTCTAAGGCCCTTCATTCAGAAAAACTGTAGTGGGGCCAAAGAGCAGACTGAGAAATCAAGTCCTTCATTCACAAAATGCTACACCAGTTCCTCCAGAGGCGTTCACCTATTTACTGTCAGGGCCAAATCCTGTTGCTATCGTGTCTTGGTTTTGTTTTTTGGTCGAGGTGCTTTTTCCTAAGGAAAGGCATGCACATTAGAGCCTTCTGATCTGTACTTGAACTTGGATCAGCCCTTCAGTTTTGGAAGGGCCTTTTCAGGCTTTTGCTGAGGTGATGAGAACTGGGAAAACGTGAACTGGTTGACGTCTGTCTTGTTTCTTTTCCGGGAGACTTAGGTTCAGATTTTATCTCTGTCTCTTTGCTGTGGGAGCACATTTGTCTATCCTTTTTTTCTTTTTTGCAAATACATAATGAAAAATAAAATAGAAACAATGGTTGCCCGGGGCTCGCGGAGCAGGGAATGAGAATGACTGCTCGGGGGTACAGGGCTCCTTTGGGGGTGATGTTCTGAAATTGCACAACTCTGAATATACTAAAAAAAAAACACTGAAAGGGTAAATTTTGCAGTATGTGAATTAATGAAGCTGCCATCTTTTTAATCGAATGTCAACAGTACAAAACAACAGACTTCCCAAGTTTCAGCTCGTTGTTTTAGCTCTATCTCTATTCACTTCCCCTTTCTTGAATTATTGTGAAGTGAATTTCAGAAATACTTTATCTGTAAATATTTAAGTATAATCTCAGAGATCAGGACTTTTTAAAACACTGTTCATAGCATCATTACACCTTAAAGTGTTAACATCAATTACTTAATATCATCACGTACCTAGTCAGTGTTCCAGCTGCCTTACAAATGATTTGTTTTGAGTTAGACTCCAAATAAGGCCCACACATTGTGCTTGGATGTGTCTTTCGAGTCTCTTCATCTTCAGACTCCACCGCTGTCTTCCCCATCCCGCCTTTTGCAGTTTATTTATTGAAGAAAGTAGTTGGAGTTTTCGGCCAAATTGATCTCTCTCTCTCTCTCTCTCTCTCTCTCCACCCCGCCCCCTCAGTCCCTCCCAGGTGTTAGGGATATGTGACTTTTGTTTTAGACAGTAATGGGTTATAGAGGAGGGATATTTGGGCTGAGCTCCCCTCTGCTCTAGAATTTTTTTCCCACGGGTATGTGTAGGGAAGCATCGGATTTAGGTTTCATGGAGTCTCGCCTGGACCCACAAACCTCAGCCTCAGCCCCATGGCTCCGCCGCACCCTCCTCTGATGCCACATGACCTGGGCCCACCAGCAGAGCCAGACGAGAGGCGAGCAGAGAAGCCCGCCAACACTTAACAGAGACCTCTGGCTGCTCTGCGGCGCCCTTTGCCCACAAATGTCAGCAGCAGCATGCAATGCGCCGGTGCCCTGTTGATACTTTGTCTTATCTGTAAAGACTAAGAGGGTAAAAAAACTTCCGCTGTCATGTATGTCCTGTATAACTTCAGCCTTCGTGACTCACTGCTCTTGCATATGAGTCTGCTAGTTTTCCTAAAATGGAGCTTGCTAATTCCATCGTTTTCTTTTTTTAATTATTTGCGTGTTCATGGTGTCCCAGCCAGGCATGCCTCTGCCCCTAAGCTGATCTGCCCCAGCTTCTCATACCTTGCCCGCCTCAGGAAGCCTCCCAGAAACGCCTCCCCCCCTCACCCCTCGGTGCCCTCCTCCCGGTAGATGTCCGCTTGGACTGGGTTGTGAAATCCATCTCCGTCTCCGCGGGATCCTTGTCCCCGCCTTGTTGGGGGCTCCCATCAGCAGCCCGGCAGTTCATTGGTCCAGGAAGTTAACTTCAACAATGATAACCATTTAAGAGATGAATCATCTCAGCCGGAAATCAGCCAGCTATTTCCATCGGTAGCTCCTTCCCAGCACTCAGACTTTTGGGGCCTCCACAAGGGACTCCACACGGGACAGACAGCAGACAAGCCCGTAAGTGCTATCATCGCAGGAAAGGAGCCGTGAGGGAGACAGCTCACAGGAGAAGGAACCTGATCCAGGCGCAGAAGGATGGACTCTGGTTTGTCCAAATGAAATGAAGAGGTGAACGCACCTGGCCAGGAGTCCTCTTCCTTGTAACCCCCCTGGAAGCTGAGTCTGAATTTAGGGAAAGTACAATGACTTAGCAACAATTCTGAATATTGCATGAGCAACTGCTCTGGTTCCCGTTTACAGATGGTGGGTGGGTGAACTCTGAGAGGGCACAGGATTTTATTGACAGGTGCTCAGCATAGCCCGGCGCGGAGTCAGTCAGCACCCAGAAAGTGAGTGCAGCTCCGTAACGGGAGCCAAGTCCAGGAGGAGCACATGGGGGAGCGGGGAGCCGTGTGCCTCTGAGCGAGGGGCGTCCGCTGCGGCAAGGCCCTGCAGGGCGGTCCCCTTGACGCGTTTTCTCCTGGCTCTCCTAGGACAAGTGTTGGGGGCAGGAAGGAAGAAATGCTGACCGCTATCGGAAAGTTGGGCTTCTGGCCTCCGATCGGGGAAATGGGTTTGGTCTGTTGGCTGTGAGCTGCTCCACATTTGAGGGATGAGAACACTGTGCGTTCATACACTGAGCTTTTCAAAGAAGGAACTTCAACCTACAAAGCAGAAGAGTGGTTGTTTTTTTTTTTTTTTTCTTTTGTGGTTTCACATAACAAATGTATGCCAATCTCTACTTTTAAGTGAAGTGAGACAGTCTGGTGTTGAGGACTGAGTGAGGCTGGCGTTTCTAGCCTCCCTGCCTTCCCTCACCCCTCTCGTCTGCCTCTATACCTGCTTTCCAGAAAGTCCGCCGTCTGGGAAGACCTCTTTGACAACCTTCCCTGCTGCCAGCCGGCCCCACGAACTCCGTTTCTTAGAACCAGCCTGAAGCATGCGGCAGCATTACGTAACTCGCCCGTGAGGCCAGAGATATTAGCCGCACAGCAGCGAGAGGCTGCTTCACAGCAACATGAAAGGAGCCTGCATCATCATGGACGAAGCGCCCAAGGTGAGTGACGGGAGCCGTCTGAATGGGCAGAGGGCCAAGCCGCCCTTCACGCTCAAGGACAGCAGTGGGTGGTGGTTCTGAGTTTCTAACGAGGTTGAAGGATGGATACTAGCCATATGTAATTTTGAGATGGGAAGGTTCCATGTCAGTTTATGTGTGGAAAATGCATGCGCTTAGAGCTCTGTACCAGGTGGACTCAGAGATGGATGAAAACCAGCAGAACCCAGCTTCTGGGTTGATAACGCAGTCTGTCGCTTTGTGTCCACTCACCTTCCAACAAGCCTCTTCAGTGAGAGACCTCAGCTCACCCTGACCTCTCCACCCTGTGGACCCTGGAGACACTCAGGGTCCCTCCCAAACGCCCCAAGGGACGCTGGGCTGCTTCCCCACAGTCGAGCCCGGACCTGGGCTTCAGCCTCCCACCTCCCACAGCCTCAGCTTCAGAGTCCACAGCAGACAGCCCCCCGCTGTCTCCACGTTAACTTCTGTATTGATCTGTGTGAGTGGAGCACGAGTCTGGGACAGGAATCAAAAAAGATTCACTATTTAGGAAGTCAAAATAGCTACCAAAACCAAGAAACAAAAACCCTTTCTCAGACACAAGGAAAGTGAAGCTCAAGGGTTACTTTGCTGCACCTTTTAAAAATATAAGTAGAACAGGAAAAAAGAAATAAAACAATTACTAAATGGGGAGGCTGCTTATAGAAATTAAATATGTTCTTTATTATTATAACAATAATTATAGGTGTCATTAGTGGAATTTATAGCTGAGTAATGCATGACGCCTCTCTTAAATAGTCGTGTGTAAATATCGCAGCTAGACTATGGTACCCAACTGTTTCCTTTGAAAAATTTGTAACTATTGGGAAAATAGGGGAAAAATAATTTAGTAAATCCTTGCATATTGGTTACCCAGGACTCAAGATTCCTGGCAGTTTGTTACATTGTCTGCATTTATTTTATACATTTAGATACAAGCGCACACTTTGCTATGCTTAACCATAGGAAAACAAATTGCAGATGTAATGACAACTGCCAAAACAAGGACAGTGCCCTGCAGTGTTATTATCACTCCCAAGAAAACTTACCACTGAATTAATAATGCCATGCTAACTGTCAGCCCACATTCACATTTTCCAGAAATGTCCTTTCTAGCTTTTTTGGCTGGTATGTGTGTGTGTGTGTGCGCGCGCGCGCGTGTGTGTGTGTGTTCCCCACCCGAGATGTGTTCCGTGACCGCACGTTGCGTTGTGTGCCAGGTCCCTGCTGCCCTTAATTGAGAATAATCCACTACTTTTTATTTTTTCTTACCGTTGGTTTTATTATCCCAGATCGTTTCATGATGTAGATTTCTTACTTCTGCGCCACTCCCCCTGCCTCACGAGTGTCTCTGGCAGCGCACACTCTGTGACCCGCAGGCGTGCCTGCGCCTGAGGAGACACCCCCAGCCTGCCCGTGAAGTCCTGTCAGGACCGGTGTGCAGACGGTAGTGGCGGACACTGCGTGCCTGTCGTCTGCCCGGCCCGGTGCTGAGTGTTCTCCTCGCACTTGCCGGTACATCCCGCCTCCCGGAGGCGGAGATGTTAGTCTTATCCCCGCTTTACAGACGAGGAAAGTGGGGTTCACCGACTTGCCCAGGTCGCACACAGCGAGTGGGATGCCGGGAGCCCCCCTCGGCAGCCTGAGCCCAGGGTCCCAGCGCTTAACCGGCTCTGTCTTCTGACCCTTCTGCCAGCAGCTGGCAAACTCCCTAACGACCTGGATAGTTGCTTCTGCTCTGTGGGCCCCGTACCACCTCTGCGGCACCGTCTTCTTATTTTTACGACCCTTTAAAAATATAAACTCACTCCTCACCCTCAGATCGGTCTTCCGGACGTGACCCACAGGTCACAGGGGCCCCCCCACCCCCCATGTCTCAGGTGAACGATGTTTCGGCTCGTGCAGCTGCTCCCGCCCGGGAGTGGCAGTCACAGGGCAAGGACCCGGGGGTGGCCCCTCGTCCAGTAGGCGACCTCGGCCCACGGTTTCCTGGGCGTCCCCGCACAGCGGTCAGTGCACAGGGAAGATAATCTATGTTTAAAGGCTTTACACAGATAGGAGCGGTTACTGAAAACAGCTGAGCTTCTTGCCTTTTCCAACAAAAAGCACATGTGAGAGTCCTACTGATTTTCGTGCCGTTGCCCCGCCTCGTCAGCCTGAACGCCTGCACTGTCATTCGATTGCTGCAGAGATGGTAACGCAAGGCTTTATGGAGTCACCCCACAGAAGGGGTCCTCCGCACTTTACGGCAACCCTCCCTTGCACCCCGGGGCCGCCCAGCCGCCTTCCCTACCCCGACCGTGGCCTGGGTGCCCTGCTGGTGGCAACGGCTGCCGTTCCCGGCTGTGCCCTCGTGGGGGTCTTTGCCAGCCAACAGTTCCCTGTGAGGAGGGCTTCCACCCTTGAGTGTCGCAAGCTTTGTGGGATCGGATTTTATTATCCTTTCCCCTCGTTGTCTTAGCAAACAAGGAGAAAACCAAAAACCAAACACGATATCAGTGATAGGAAATGCGGGCCCCAAACGGTAGGATGGCAACAAGGGAGCGCACGGCAAAGGGGCAAATGGCACGTCTTGTTCGTGGGTTTGCTGGACTATAGCGGATTGATTCCATGTTCAACGCCATTGCAGAAATGCTGCAGGACGCGGTCTAAATGACAAGGTGCATGTGTGATTTTACTGTATGGGCGTCCTTGTTTTGGAGTTTTGGTTGTTTCAAAGGGCCTTATCTTTAAAACGAGTTTGCATATATACTGTACTGACTCAGTCCCGTCTGTGGCCAATGAGGTTTACTTCTGAGTGTGTGTGTGTGTGTGTGTGTGTGTGTCCGCTGGACACACCACGGGAGGCGATCTTGAAATTGCCTCACTGTGCAGACGTCTTGCCTCCCTGGGGCAAATGTCTAGCAACTGAAGGAGGGTGACTGAGTCACTTCGCCTGTGAGTGGGGAGCAGTTTCAGGCGTTCTGTGACCTTTGGCAGCTCTGACATGGCAAGGAAGACATTTTAAAGTCTGTCCTTGTCGAGGCAAGGCAAGAGGGATCGCATGGGGAGAACGCGCCAGCCCCCGCTGTCCCCTGCCCTGCAGCGCCCCGGCTCCTCTCGCACTGTCTCGTCTTCACTGGTCAGGGTCTGAACTTGCTTTGCCTTTGCCCCCCCCCACCCCCGGAGAGTCAGCTCCATCGGGGGCAGACCTGCACTTTCCTGTTCAGTGCTGACTCTCTTTGCATAGAGCAGCGCCTGCACATAGTAGGTGCTCAGGAAACGCGTTGCATTGGTGTACGTTGGGAGGTAATAGGACACGCACAAGGGAGAACTCGCAACACAGGCCTGCCCAGAGGACAAGAACTTTGTCGTCTGTTATCTGGGAGGAGGGTCTCAGCGCATTATCTCCCCGGGCCGCAGCCTGAGCTTCGCCTCAGCCTAGATTTCAGAGAAAAGGTCGCTTCCTTCTCCCATTGTCAGAGGCGGCCTTAGGTCTGAGGCTTCAAAGTCAAGATCACAAGGACCTAGGGTCTCCCTCTGACCGTGTCCAACAGCTTCATCCCTTCACCCACCTCCCCTGGGTGAACAGGACAGAATGGCCCGGCCTCAATTTCCAGCTTGGAAACACAGCTCACTGCTGTGTGTAAGCCATTCACTCAACACACGGTGACCGGGCTCGGGAGGCTGGGGCGGTCAACACAGAGCGGCCGTTCCGGTGAGGCCGCAAAGGCACTGAGTAAATGGACACAATGCCCTCAGGGGGTGAAAAACACCATGCAGAAAATAAAACAAGGTGGCCTCATAGAGGTGATGGCCAGAAAGGGCCTCTCTGGAGGACTGAGTGATGGGGAAAGCATTGCAGGCAGAGGAAACAGCAAGTGCAAAGGCCCTGAGGTAGGCACGGGTTCAGCCGAGTGGGGTATCCTCAGCAAGGCCAGTGCTGGTGGAGCAGAGCAAACAAGCGGAGGGCGTGGCTGGAAAGGAGGTCTCAGGGGGAGCAGCATCGGCCTTGTGAGCGCTGAGAAGTGCATCCTACTGGCAAAGGAAGCCACTGGTCTATTTAAAGCAGGCGATGACAAGACCTGACCTATGTTTCTAAGAGCCAACTTGGGCTGCGATGCACCCAGGGGACGGTGGGTAGGAAAGGGCGGCAGCAGAACACGAATATGGGGACAGTGCAGGTGGCTTCGCTTCCATGGTGGCCGGTTCCGTGCTCTTCACAGGGGACACGGAGAAGAGCCATCTGCTCTTTTGAAAAAAATAAAACTTTCAGTGTTTGAGACTGTCAGGGGGTGTGGGCAGAAACAGTAGTAAATGAAGGTGTAAATAGCTTGCATTTAACTGCAGGTGCCATCTGCCTTTTTGTGTATCTTTTTTGGAAACTTTTTTTCCCCACCAACCTGACTTCCGTTTGCTGTTGAGGCAATACGCCTTTCACTCATCCAGCGCATACGGCGGTCCCACTCTGTGCCAGCACTGTTCCAAGTGCCACGAGAGGACAAGAGTGTCTCGTCCCCTTTCCCTGCTTAATAACTTTTGTTGTCTTAACACTGTAAGTGCCCTGAGGCTCACGCTGTGTGGGGAGGGGGAAGCTAAACAGAACACCACCACCCCAAGAGTTAAAAAAAAGTCTGCTGCAAGACAGTTCAAAGGAAAGTGGCTACGCTCATGGAAACAAGGAAGTGACCATAGAAACGTAGCATGGTCATTTTGGAACTGTGATGACTAAGGGAGGAAATGACAACTGTCCGGAGAGGAAATAACTTCAAAGGAGGAAGGTATCACAAAGTTGCCACTACGAATGGTATTCAAATACCCCAACATGAGGCGCCGTCAGAGAGGGGAAGCAAATAGTTTGGGAACCATTTCCAAATGTATCGCCCCTAAGCCACTTGTTTGTGGGCATGGATGGGGACCGTGGTGCACATGGCACAAGGACAGTTGGTGCTGAGAAGGCAGGGTGTCCTGCTGGGCCTGGG